AGGGTCGGGATCGAACCCACGACATCCTGAATACCAGGCGAGGTAATTATCAAAATCAATTGAGTGTCCTTGTTGGCACGCGTGTTCTGCTACTGCTGACAGTTGTATTTGGGAGAATGTAATATTTCTCTGATGTTGAAGTTACGTGCAAAACTAGCTGCTACTGGCCAAGACTAATGAAAAAATCTATCGAAATTGAAAAATATTTCAATAATTTTAACCATTCGGATAGCTACCGCCTTAGTGCTGCGTGGAAGCGAATAATCAAATAATACATTATTTAAATGCATACTTATAAAGGGCAGCATACATCAATAGGGATTACCGTTGGTACGGCTATTTTAAAACACAATAGACAGGCAGGACAAGATCAAAGGGATCGCATAATGCACATGCATCATGTACGTTGACTCATTAATCCCCCCCCTCCCCCACTTTGCCCAAGAGCGCAGAAGCGTGGTCACCACATCTACGCCTCTACATAAGGAACGAAACAGGTGGACTTCTCCACAAATCTGACTGTCGCCTGATGAAGCTCGTTGTAATTACTGGCGAAACGTCGTACTCAGATTGTAAATGTTGTGGTATTGCATGTCAGGAATGACATCCTTCACAGATGGGATTAAATCACGGATTTTGTGTACTGTATTGAATCGGACCTGGATCTTGTGTTTGTTTAAGATTTGGAAATAGTTTTGGTAACACCTGCTATGTATGGCAAGGTGATGGTTTTGATTGGGTCCTCAGATGGTTGTCTCCAACCATGGGGAGACAACCATCTGGTACTCTGCAAACCTTCGAGCTTCCATCAAAGATTTGTCCATGAAGCCATCCAGACATATATAAACGCAGAGACAATTTCAACCGAGATGGGTATAAGTTGAGCAATCATTGGAAGGACGTTATTAACCAAGCTAAGTCATAACTTGCTGTGGTGCTTCCATTCTTCCCTGCCATTTGGCTGTTATCTCCGACTCTCTGAGTTGCATTGCCCTGTTAGGTCCCTCTGCATTAACGGGCTGGGGACTCACTAACATGTCCACCTCTGCTCCCTTAGCCTCGATGTACCGATGGTTCTGGCTGTGTGATGGGCTGTGTGTCTCACTGGCGCGACCACCGTTGCGGTGGTTCTCTTGCGTGGATGCGCTTGCCTCTCAGCGCAGTTGGCAGCACCGCAGCTTGTGTTACACACAGACATGACATTAACTTGCTAATCCCCCTAATCTCTCTGCCTATTCTCTCCCATCAACATAGTTAACACTGCTGCTGTGCGCATATGCGGGGACGGTGCTCTTGTGCGGCGACGGAAGCTCATTTCATGCTAATCTCTCTCCCTAATCTCTCTCTCCCTAATCTAATCTCCCCCATGAACACAACTGACGTGCTTGCGTCCGGGGATGGAATTCCTTTCCAGCTCAGACCCCGCCTGCTTGCCCTTCGCCACGTAAATAACCTCTTGTTGTAACAGCTCTCTCGCTGGTTCAGAAGTTCCACTGCTGGATTATTATAAATTCTTCCGCCTGAGGACGACCACTTGTGTTGCGATTGAAACGTCGTGATATATTATTTTTTATTTAAAAAAAATTCTACCTACGTGACTTTACCGAAAGAACCAACGAGTATGGCCTAATGTTATTGATCACAAACGAATCATGAGCATAATCAACCCTTGACTCAGCACTGGGCCCCATTATCATGTCTAGATGATTCCATTGGCTCCCAAGAACATCCATCAATAACACTACTTACATCAAAAGGCAACACACAATAGGCGACGTTAGGGCAACGGCCCTGCTTCTTGTAAAACTCGTCTTTATTTGATTGTCTCTTGACCCTGTGCTGTCTACTTTTACTGAGAGCGACTGTGCTGTGTAAATAATGCGGGTTGCAAAGGGAGGCGCACCATCTATGAAGAGCCGAAGCAAGGATGCCGTTCGTCTGGCTGATGGGTATGGAGCCCGCTGACCTCTGGATGGCAAGTGCAGTGTTCATCTTCTTGGTTCTTTCGGTAAAGTCGCGTGGAAGGGAAATAATAAAATAATAAAAATAAAACACAATACAAAAATTTATTTTATTATTTCCCTTCTACGTGACTTTACCGAAAGAACCCAGAATATGAATCCCTGCAGTCACGAAAGCTTTAAATCGAAAACGTGCAGTGTTGCTGACAATTAAAAACGAAACTGCAATTTTTTTTATTTTGCCAGGTTAGGCCTACTGAGCTATATAGCTCTTCGTCACAACATTTTTAGCAGCCAAATACTCTGAACGCACGATGTTGATTATAATTGTGGAGGGAAAATCCGGATGACCCGGAGAAAAATCCACACGTACACGGGGAGAGTGAGAGAGAGAACACCTGTAAACTCGCAATATGCAGGCGTCAGCGTCGGGATCGAACCCACGACCTCCTGTATACGAGGTAGTTCAGAAACAGAATATTTATTTATACTGGGGGAATCCGATGAGCTCTAAAGCTCTTTTTCACAGATGTCTAGTCGGGGCAGGGGTAAGAACTTTACAACAACAAACAATACAAGGACACGATATGAGTGTATAGTCCACGAAAGGTAATACAAATCATCCAAACATAGCAATACAACTAAACCATCCCCATCCTATGAGGCAAAGTCCACTGAGGGTGTGAGTGAGTTAACAGCTCGACACTGCAGTGGCCGCTCTCTACGTCTCTCACTTGAAGAGGTTCAAACAAACTCCGCTTAGTGCGGATGGACGTTTTCTGTACGTGTCTGTGCGAACCGGTAACCGTTAACTTTAAACGGGTTTCCACCCCAGTAACTATGGGGGGTGGTTGGGGAGGTGTGGGGGGGAGATGTGGTGGGGGAGGTGTGGGGGGGGAGGTGTGGGGTGGGGTGATGGGGGATGGTGGGGGAGGTGTGGGGGGTGATGTGGTGGGGGAGGTGTGGGGGGGAGGTGTGGGGGGGGGGAGGTGTAGGGTGGTGGGGGAGGTGTGGTGGGGGAGGTGTGGGGGGGAGGTGTGGGGGGAGGGGAGGTGTGGGGGGGGGAGGTGTGGGGTGGTGGGGGATGTGTGGGGGGGGGGAGGTGTGGGGGGTGATGGGGGTGATGGGGAGGTGTGGGGGGAGGTGTGGGAGTGATGGAGGGCGGTGGGGGAGGTGTGGGGGGTGATGGGGGGTGGTGGGGGAGGTGTAGGGGGTGATGGGGGTGGTGGGGGAGGTGTGGGGGGAGGTGTGGGGGGTGATGGGGGGGCGGTGGGGGAGGTGTGGGGGGGTGATGGGGGGTGATGGGGGAGGTGTGGGGGGGGTGATGGGGGGTGATGGGGGAGGTGTGGGGGGGGTGATGGGGGAGGTGTGGGGGTGATGGGGAGGTGTGGGGGGAGGTGTGGGGGGGGGAGGTGTGGGGTGGTGGGGGAGGTGTGGTGGGGGAGGTGTGGGGGGGAGGTGTGGGGGGAGGGGAGGTGTGGGGGGGGGGAGGTGTGGGGTGGTGGGGGATGTGGGGGGGGGAGGTGTGGGGGTGATGGGGGGTGATGGGGGAGGTGTGGGGGGAGGTGTGGGGAGTGATGGAGGGCGGTGGGGGAGGTGTGGGGGGTGATGGGGGGTGGTGGGGAGGTGTAGGGGGTGATGGGGGGTGGTGGGGGAGGTGTGGGGGAGGTGTGGGGGGAGGTGTGGGGGGTGATGGGGGGCGGTGGGGGAGGTGTGGGGGGGTGATGGGGGGTGATGGGGGAGGTGTGGGGGGGGTGATGGGGGGTGATGGGGGAGGTGTGGGGGGGGTGATGGGGAGGTGTGGGGGTGATGGGGGAGGTGTGGGGGGGGGTGATGGGGGAGGTGTGGGGGGGGTGATGGGGGAGGTGTGCGGGTGATGGGGGAGGTGTGGGGGGGGGTGATGGGGGGTGATGGGGGAGGTGTGGGGGGTGATGGGGGGAGGTGGGGGAGGTGTGGGGGGGGTGATGGGGGGGGTGATAGGGGAGGTGTGGGGGGGTGATGGGGGGTGATGGGGCGGTGTGGGGGGGGGTGATGGGGGGTGATGGGGGAGGTGTGGGGGGGGTGATGGGGGGTGATGGGGGAGGTGTGGGGGGTGATGGGGGAGGTGTGGGGGGGGGTGATGGGGGGTGATGGGGGAGGTGTGGGGAGGGTGATGGGGGGTGATGGGGGAGGTGTGGGGGGTGATGGGGGAGGTGTGGGGGGGGGGTGATGGGGGGTGATGGGGAGTGTGGGAGGTGATGGGGTGATGGGGAGGTGTGTTGGGGGTGATTGGGGAGGTGTGGGGGGTGATGGGGGTGGTGGGGAGGTGTGGGGGTGATGGGGGGTGATGGGGGAGGTGTGGGGGGGGTGATGGGGGGTGATGGGGGTGGTGGGGGAGGGTGGTGGGGGGAGGTGTGGGGGGGGAGGTGTGTGGGGGAGGTGTAGGGGGTGATGGGGAGGTGTGGGGGGGGTCATGGGGGGTGGTGGGGGAGGTGGGGGGGGAGTGGGGGATGGGGGGTGATAGGGGAGGTGTGGGGGGGGGTGATGGGGGGTGATGGGGGAGGTGTAGGGGGGTGATGGGGGAGGTGTAGGGGGGGGGGTGATGGGGGGTGATGGGGGAGGTGTAGGGGGGGTGATGGGGGGTGATGGGGGAGGTTTGGCGGGGGGGGGGTGATGGGGGGTGATGGGGGAGGTGTAGGGGGGGTGATGGGGGAGGTGTAGGGGGGGGGGTGATGGGGGGTGATGGGGGAGGTGTAGGGGGGGGTGATGGGGGGTGATGGGGGAGGTTTGGCGGGGGGGGGTGATGGGGGAGGTGTGGGGGGGGGGTGATGGGGGGTGATGGGGGGTGGTAGGAGAGGTATGGGGGGGGTAGTGGGGGATGGGGGGGGGGGCGACTACAATCCCTACCGCACTTAGGCTCCCGCCCGGCGCGGCCCCATTGGCCAGCGGAGCCGCCCTGGCGACCCTTCGAAACGCTCGCGCGCGATTGGTGCCGCGGAAAGCGGGCGACCAATGGGGAGGCGCGGGCAAGGGCGGGGCCCGCGTGTGCGTGGTAGGGAATGTGGTTGGTTGCGGCGGCGGCAGTAACAGCAGCAGCAGCGGCGGCCACTGGTGGTGGTCCCAGCGAGAGGAGTGAGCGGCGCTTCCCGATCCGAGTCGTGGTGCTCGCCCGCGGTGAGTGAGGCTGCGAGTGACGCCACCTCGTCCACCTCGTCCACATCCCCTGCGTGGCGGCGTTCTTTATTGTCGAACAGAAAACGACCGTCCGTACTGAGTAGGCCTGGTCCGCCTCTCGGTGCCTAGCCGCTTGCCTGGATTCGTCGCCGCCCGCGGTGGCGGTTTAGAGTCGCGGGGCGTGGGTGGAGGGGGGGGGGGCTTCCCGACGCGTTAAAACGTTTGACGAGGATTAGTTGACGAGAGCGTGACATTGTATAATCTAGATAACGTGTGGAATCTTGCCGCTAAAGACTTAATGCGAATAAGACTTTAGCCTAGCGTTGATACGGTACTTGATTCAACAGTACTGTATAGAGATTAATGTCACGATAGACTACGCGACATGCCCAGACAGTGGATGAGCAGATAGCAATTAAAACTACAGTACATTGTTTATTAAACCTCTTCATTATATATACACATGCTGATTCAGTACAGAGATGTGCGAAAGGCAGATTGTTAGTGTTTGTCGAGTTTCTCATCTATGAAGCAATGAGCATATAATGTGTTCGTTCGATACACGAGAAGATGTGGCATATCGTTTTCGTTATAATGATGTGCGGTGCATGCAGTGTCCGTAGCATAGTACAACTGGCATGGAACGATTAATCGATTATTTTGTTGGGTATAATTGGTTCACGTAATCCCTAACGCCACGGGAGATGATACGGTGCATCACATTTAATAGAATGGCGACCAGAATTGCGAAATATCTCCTCTGAGGTTAAATCGTTGCAAGCCTCGTCTATAGTAGTATTTTATTTTAAAACGTGTATAGCGATATATTCTGTAATAACAAGCTATCGGTGGTTTAAGTATTGCTTGAAATCCACGAGGGTGTTTATTTTACGCGAGTACAACCTTCTGGGGTCTGTAGAAGTGAAGGGCTCACAAGTGATGTCATCACATCTACACCCCTCTGTTTAAGGAACGAAACAGGAGGATGTATCCACAAATCAGGCTGTCCGCCTGATGAAGCTAGTTGTAATTACTGGCGAAACGTCGTTCTCGGATTGTGAATGTTGTGGATGTTCTCCCCAACACACCGGTGTGCTGTACTAGTAACGAATGGGCCACGTTCTGTTTACGTGACAAACCTTCAGTAATTGGCTGTGTCGGGTGGTGGCGGGTTTAACGACACATTTATATTATGGAGAAGTATTGTTCGCGCTGTGAGGCTGGAGGAGGTCGTGAAGCCCCGTGGGCATTTATTAAGTCCGTGAGCCCAAACCAGAGACGTGTCTGTCGGTAGCACGCACGCACCTCTGTTGTTGAGTGCTTGAGGATGAATGAATGATGGATCGTGCTGCAAGGTAGCCAAGAGGTGACATCATCACGGAAGATGGGTACACGTGCTGATGCTGCTCGCGTCCGTGGGAACTCAAGTCTCCTCCCCCATTTAGGTTAAGGATGTCGTAGTCATGTTTGTATTCGTGTGCAAATATGTTTGCACCGCAATACAGGGTGCTTAAAAAAATGTTGACAGTTTTATGGGACTATCTTTTTGAATGTAGAAAGAACAGATAATACAGTGTAACGTGATAACAAATGTATGTTAATAGCTTTAAAAAGTAGTCTCCACGTGTTCGCCATCATTGTCAACGCGTGCCCGGAATCTTCTCCAAGTGGTCTCCAGAGCCCGGAGGGACATTTCTTGCGGTATTGTTGCAAATTCTCAGAAGTGTTAACATTTTTTTAAATACCCTGTATTTGTATAATCTAGGGCAGTATTGATTTCTGTCCTGATCATGCAGTGTGACGACTGCTATGCGCTTGGTTAACAGGAGCGCACTGGGTTTTGCGTGGACTCTGTTGAAAGCTGCCAGCTGCGCTTGATTTGTTTTTGAGACCCGACAATACTGCCCACTGGCACTAACAATACGCGGCGTTGATGACAGTATTACAGTGCATGATGCGAATTGTGTTTTTGGCCGTGCACATCAAGTAAATGGATGTGGTGTTATGGTCCAGACATCCAGAGTCCTCCGAGAGAAAAACACAGCCACGAATACATCAACCCATGTACAACACTTCGGCTAGCACCTCCCCCACCACACCTCCCCCCTCACCTCCCCCATCACCCACTCACACCTCCCCCACCACAAGTGTGTGTGTTTAGGATAATTAGTTTTGTTACCTGGGTTTTAACCCTTGTCCGTGGGAATCACGAGTACAGTAAGCACCATCCTCTCTGGCACGTCTCTATGTTATGATGCTGTGCCCCTCGGCCAGGGTTTGTTGTGTCTGCGTCGTTCCCACGTGAGGATTATCAGCAGGAGTAACTTGACTCTTTAGACCCAACCCTGTCGGGCAAAGCCGCCCAACCCCATTCTGCCTCCCAGGTAACGGTGCACTCGGTGGAGGAGGGTGTGACCCGCATAGTTTGGTTTGTCGTCAAAGGGCGTTGAGCACTGAAGAGGCACGGTTTGTTATTGAGCAGTGATCAGAGGAGTGATGCTGTGATAGCAAATAGTCACTGGATAATAGAGGGTTTTTTTGGGTTATATCACGTAAATATATAAATGTGTCGTTAAACCTGCCACCACCCGACAAAGCCAACTAGTCAGGTTTGTCACGTGAACAGAACATGCCAATTCGTTTCTAGTGATAAGTGGGTCCAAAAAAACCTGTATTATGGATGATATTGGTCTCCAAAGCCTCTGTGTTAAACAGTCACTGAATTGGTGATCTATTGTCCAAAATCTAATTCGAGTGTAAAATGAGAGCCCCCTGTCCCAATTAGTGGCCGAGTTGCGACAATTTCTATATGTAATTGTGGGTTATATGATAGTCACCATATCGAAGATTCCAATGATGGTTGCTACAGCTAGTATGACTAATATTTGTCAAGCCAAGCGTTGATGTAAACAAAACAGGCAATTTTGATTTCTTTAAGCGTAACCGGGTCCAGATGTTGTAATGGTGGTTCTCATAGGTTTAGTGTTGCTGTGGATTTGATTTTATTCACCGCTGCCAGGGGTGCATCCTCTGTGATAAGTATTTATGCTCGGCAGCCATGTCTGCAGTGGAAAATTGCCAATTGCGTGTCATAAATACACCGCGAAATGTGCAGAGCAGTTGATTTTCCAAAATGTATGGTTGCAAACAATGCACCTTGGTTTGTGCACCGTTATAATTGTGTCACAGTCGTTGTTAATTCAAGGAATATTTTATTTCGAGCAGATCTAATTGTTCTTGTGCCAAAGCGTTGTTTGAAAAGTGTTAAATGCTTAAATGTGTTGGCTTTTGGAACATGCAGAGCATTCCAGTTTTACTTCAAATATGAGATGAATAGCTACTCCATTTTTTACCATTAAAATAATAATGAATTCTCGAACACTTAAGTAGAACTATGGTTTTGTGTTCCACATACATTTTTGGGTGCCATTATGTATCATTTACAGACAAGAGGAGTTTTCCCATAGATCATCCTAGAGGTCACAGGCACTGTTCATCTTCGTTAGGAAGCCACTGTGCTTACACATTTACCAGAGAATCACATCCTGGCCCGAAGTGTGCCGTCTGATTATTAAGTATTTAAATTGCAGGTTTCGCAGTGCATGTCAGGATTCTCAAACAAACTCGGGAGCATTGCCACTTGTCTCCACTGGTTTCTCTGTAGGAGGTGTAAACAATACTGAAAACATACGAAGCTTTGCATTATCGTATCTCAGACATTTTTGTTGGGGCTTACAGCTCGCTACATGTATGATGTCACCATAACATTAGGTGGGATTTATGATTATTTAATGAAAGTGTGATGAGGATGTTTGAGATGAAAATGCATAGATTTTATGCATTTTCATCTGTGATATTTAATATTTTTATTAGTCACTTTCTATCTCCCACGGGGATAAAAAGTGGTATTTTATTACCCTCTAAAGGATGATATGGTAAGAGTCTAATGGATCTGTAAAAGCCAGTTTTAACACATTTTTTTAAAAGGTGAATGAGGGATCATTCCATGATATACTTTAACCTCATTCGTGTATATATTCAATCAATAGGTTCGCTAATTTTGTTTCCAACAACTAGTCCTTCATATTTAATGTCCACAATTATGTCATCTGGTTCAAGAGCTTTACGTTTTTTTTCATATCACAGGGTTTACTTCAAGTGTCACGTCGGGAACGTCATCTTGTTTTGAATACCATAGGGAACAGGATAACTGGAAATGTTTAAACCTATCAAATACATGAGCAAGCCGGTGTCGGGAAAGGTTTCTCGACCATCACCCACGAACTACAGAGCGGCAGCCAAAGGAAGGAACGTGCCGGAGAGAGAATGACCACCGCGTAGACGGAGCAATGAAAGCATCCTGTGTGCAGGAGCTAGATGATCATTGTATCATGACAAAGAAGTGAGATATGTGAATAGTTTTGAGAGGCTATCATGCAGCAGTCGATAGATCCTGGCTGCTGATTAATAAATAATGGCCTGAGTCAATTCCCAACGAGGATTTTAATTCACATCGGTGTCCTAGCTAAAACACTGGAGTGAGCTTATGTATGATACCATATTACCCATATTGTCCAACATAGGTACACATGTATTGAAAGTCAAAATTGATTACCTTGTTTTGTAAGAATAGGTTTTTCCCTTTTTTCTGGCAACAAAACTGAAACCTTTTTACAAGGAATCATGTCTGCATTAACCACAATACTTGTAGTCAGAATACAAACAAAAAACACACTCTGATAATATATGCATTGTCCTTGAAACTGATTGGTCCACACCAGAAACAGCTTTCTTTTGGCATCCTCTGGTCTAGCACCGTTTGAGACGAGGCTCAATAGAAAGCCGTCTCTGGTGTGGCCCAATCAGTTTCAAGGACAATGCATATATTGTCAGTGTATTTTTTGTTTGCATTCTGACCACAGGTATTGTGGTTAATGCAGACATGATTCCTTGTAAAAAGGTTTCAGTTTTGTTGCCAGAAAAAAGGGGAAAAACCTATTCTTATATTTTGGTACTGGCAAAGGAGGTCTCATGATGTAGATACCTTGTTCTGGTTTTCTAGCTTGAGGGTCAGCCAATGTCTCGACCCGTGTTAGTATTTGCGTATGTGCAACTGAAACACATTTTTTGGCATTTGCGTTGCCAGGTGGCTCACGTTATTGGCTGCGAGTTCACAGTTTATGTTCAAAAATAACCCCAGCTTTAAAATACTCCCAACCCTTACAAAGGTGTGAATCGTTCCTTTTGTATGCAACGGTCTAATTTTTTTTTTTATAATAGTCCGCTGGATTACCTGTACTTTGTTACCGCCTGCCCTGAGCTGTTCCACACTTACGATGCGTATGACGACAACACCATTTATCATTGCTCCGGTGTGTGGTTGCGGTTACAGGAATGGCGGCCATCCGCAAGAAGCTGGTGATTGTGGGGGATGGCGCTTGCGGAAAGACGTGCCTGCTCATCGTCTTCAGCAAGGACCAGTTCCCTGAGGTCTACGTGCCCACTGTCTTTGAGAACTACGTGGCCGACATTGAGGTGGATGGCAAGCAGGTGAGCCTCTTATTGAGCCCGTTAAAAATGTTTCGTGTGTTTGCTGGCCCCACTGTAAAACCTAATGGCATTGCGGTTTGCTCAATCCCCTGCTCTGCCTCGACAGATCCGTTATCTGTGGCCCATGGTATTGTGGCAGATTCCGTGGTGATACAGTTATGCTTAGTTTCAGTTCAGCTACACTTCCTGCAACTGTGCAGCCTCGAGAGTGGCAGTAACATTGGCTTGAGGCCCTCAGCTATAGGTGTGATATGAGTGTAATGGACACAACCCTCATGAATTCAGCAAAGTAGTGCAGAAGATTATTGGTACATTGCAAGAATATTATGTTTTCATGTGCCATGGAAAACATGAGAAATCTGATTCTTCGTTTAAAAATCAATTACATAATTTGTGATATGCTCATGGGTCCAAACCCAAATTGTGCCTTCAGTGTTCCTTAAAATCAGATAATCTGCTTTCTGTTTACATAGTTTGTGCTATCGTACCAAATAATCACATTCCATAAACACAACAAGCTATTTTTACGCACATTGAACAACATGTTTTGGCTACTTTGTATAATTAAGGCAGCCCTGGAATTGCTTGTTTCTCGCCGATGCTGGAGGATGGGACCCCACAAGCGGGAGCTCTAGGGAGCCCCTCTAGAAAGCCCTTCTTGAGAACATAGTGGCCTCATCTACCAAGCTGGCCACACACCTTGGGAGAGATGGAAGCCACCCATGCTTCACTCCACATTAGCTGCCGATCGACTGTCGCGCCAGGATTGCGAATCGGTAATCTCTGCATCACAAACGAAATAAACTAAACTAAAGTATTTTCATTTTATCAGGTAAGGCTCACTGAGAGGTATATAGCGCTGTTTCAGAAGCGACCTGTCCACAAATTATGGCTCAACGAAGTGGCTTATGTGCAAATGTAAAGCAGCCAAATACTCCTAAAGCATGTTTATAAATGTGGACGGGAAAAACCCGAGGACCCGGAGAAAAATCCACGCGACTGCAGGGAAAACATGCAAACTCCAAATATACGGGTGTCAGGCTCTGGATCGAACCCACAACCACCTGCATACCAGGCAAGGTAAATAACATCTGGTTTTGGTTTCTCACTTGATATAAGGATTTTTGTCGTGACCTGTGGTTTTATTCTGTATGTGCGAAAGCAACAAAGCCTGTGCAAGAAATAGTCTCTCAAAACATTTGACACATTGTAACTCGGTGGATTCCTTGTGTTAAGTGAACTGTTGCCAAAAGGGGGTTGTTTTTCTCCTGATGCATTCATGTATTGGCACGAAAACACATCACAGCAGCCTGTAAGTCTGGGAGATCTTTTTTTGTCAATGTTTATCCTCAAGTGTTTTCAAACATCACATTTGCTGTTCTTGTACCATGTAGTTATTACACTCATTGGTGATGGTGCACAATCATGAATACAACTCACCACCATTCTCATGAACGTAACTATATGTAACAAGTCGGGGGGGGAGGGGGGTTAGTGGTAGTGTAGTGGTTAGTGCAATGCACTACAAAGCTGAAAATCTAGGTCCCAATTCCCGGTCACGGCGAACATCAGTGGTGAGCGATACCTGAACTGGTCATGCCTGGCCCCCACCTTCGACCAACCCGCGTTGACCAGCGTGGTGTCGTAAGACAAAGCAGCTCCCTAAACCCACATGGTGAGCGGAGGCCTCCATACAGCAGTGAATTGACAAAGGGCTGTCCATTTTGTTTCATGGGTACATTTGAAGCTAACGCTTTGGAATTTTCTTTTCAAGGGTACATGTGCAGCTAACGCTTTGTGCTTTTCTAGAAAGCACTCTATTCAAGGCATTGTGCTGTGAAGTGCAGGATTATTCTTCACTCATTGTGTCCTCTCCCTGTTCTGAAGAATTGTCTGAAGCATTAGTCTATATATTTGTTGTAGCTACACCACCGGCATACTGTAAATGCCAACTCGTCGCAACTCGGCACGGTACAGATTCTTTTTTTAATTCGCAAAAGAGATGCATGAAAAAACCGCCAACCCAGAGAGAGAGAGAGAGGTTAATCCTCCTTGGGCCTCGCCCCACGTGCCTCTGCACCGCCCTCACCGACTCGCACGAGCCAGCGATCCGGAACCACGCGACCAAGGCTGCGATTGCATCACTTTGCCCGGCCTCTCGCGCATGCGCACTTGAGATTTTACGCTTTGTATATGGACGTAGAACAGGAGATGCAGAGTAGCAGCACGCTGTGATAAAAAAAAAAATTTGCAGCAGTAGATTATTTTTTTCCTTTCCCTCCGGTTACTCTGCTGGCCCCGGGGACCTTAGTACAGCAGCTATCCACGGATTTAGTGATATTTCTTATCGGCAGAAATATGAGAGCCTTACCACATCTCAATTTTTGTCCAAACATGAGGAATGGCTGTGACCACCACGATCGCTGTTGGTGATGCCTGGGTCTGGATCATTGGTTGTAGTGCCGTCTCCGTCTGGTCCATGATGGACAGATGGGAAGCGCCTGTGGGCGTGGGAGGGTGCCTTGCTGCGCATTTCAGTGCATGGGCACCACTTATGGTTCTCCCTTTGGTCTCTCCTCAGTCACTCGGGAGGTCTTCGTGTCAGACAAGGCGATGCAGGCTTTTCCCTCTCCCCATTCCCTCTCCCCATTCCTTCTCTCGCCATTCTCTCTCTCCCCAATCTCTCTCTCGCTATTTCCTCTCCCTCGGTTGGCCTCTGGGTTGGCTTCTTTTTTCATGTTTAAAAAATATATATAAATTTAGAAGTTTTTTTTGCAGAAACATTTCTACTCTTGTCGTACACTCATGCGAGTTGGCGTTAATTTTATGGTGGTGTCAAAATGTTGTGAGGTATTGATAAAAATGCATATGGTCATTTTATTTATTTGTTGAAACATGCTTTGGTAGTTTTATGTGTCTTAAGGAACAACGATATTGGTACCTATAATCCGGTGTTTTAAATGAAGTTTTATTCATAAAACCGCTTTATGAACAAGCATCACATTGGTTGATTAAAATGAAGTCACGATAAATGCATCGAATCGGATGTATAAAAATCTAATAATCAATCATTTACAATTTGTGTGAAGTGTATGCAAATATATTTTATTTTGGAGAAACTAACAATACAAACGTTGGAGCAGTGCGGCAGTGGTTGTGGACTTGCGCGATCACTTCGGTCACCTTAATTTGATTCCCATCCACGGCTGACATCAGTGGCGAAAGATGTCCAACCCGGTGCCGTGCACCATCTCACCGACCCACACTGACCGGCACGGTGAAGTGTAGTTAGGCAGTTCCCACGACCGACAGGACATGTCGAGGCCCTGATTTTACGCTATCGTACATAATTGTTACTTCGAGGTTAATGGGATGAATGAAACGGAGCAAACGAATCGGAAGCAACGAGACAAATAGCCACCAAGTTCGTGATCACGATCCAAAATTTTGAATAATAATTTCAAAGTTGGGTGGCGGGGTGGGGTGAGGATGAATCAGGATGTCTAGTACTTCAAACCGTATAAGGGAGAGATAGTGCATTGTACTGTGTATATGTGAGTGAGTCTTAGTTGTCCAGCAAAGGGGTTAGACAAATGGCTTGAGCAGCCTAGTACCGCTCTCTCCACGTGTGCTGTGTGCTTGTGGTCACGGGTTTCCAGGTGGAGTTGGCGCTGTGGGACACTGCGGGGCAGGAAGACTACGACCGCCTGCGACCGCTCAGCTACCCGGACACGGACGTCATCCTCATGTGTTTCTCCATTGACAGTCCCGACAGTTTGGGTAGGAGCTGCTGGAGAAGTGGCACTTTCCAGGGCATAGAGTGCGGCGGCGCTCATAGCTTTGTCGGTGGCACGGGCGAGTGGTCGCCCGCCTGCCGTCGCCTGTTGCAAAGGTTCACCGTGGATGTTTATGATCGCCGACATCATTCGTAAAGAGAGGGTCATTACATGAAGGATCAATATACTTTTTCTCTTGTGGCTGAGCCTCCCCTCTGTCTTAACCGTGTGATCAATATACTCAGTATGTTGTTAATTCTGTTACGAGTTTAGTGTTCCGGCTCTCAAGTTTGTTTTTCTTTTAACCGTAGCAAAGCTCGCGCAAATACTGTCGACGTGTGTCGTCCAGCGCAGCAGCAAGCTGGGCAGAAGAGAGCCGAGCTGCAGTGCTCCAGCCCGCACTCTCCGCTGCTGATGGGTTTTTCTACCTTTATTGTACTCTCAACCGTAAAGCCCTTGTTTCAATGACGAGTAATGATGCTGAACAGTCACTGAGGAGGTGGCAATCACGATACCCAATTTTTCCAAATATTATCAATACGTGACTTTACCGAAACAACCAAAATGTATGGATTCCTGCAGTCACGAAAGCTTCAAATCAAGATGAATATAAATGAGATAACGGGCAGCATATCAGAATATGTACAAGGGAGGAGGAGGAGGGCTTAAGAATGTGGTACATCTACTAAATGTTTTCTAGAGCCATGTGAGGATAGGGCACTATTAAAGCTGGAGCTGTGTGCTGCTTTAGGTGTCCTTTTGATGAATGCGGTTGGTTTCCAGTTACTACTGTCCTGTGAAAAAGGAATATGTAAGTTTCAGGAAGTGCCTTTTCCCTTCAGTTTTATCGTCCGCAAAGTAGCAGTATGAGGAAGGCTGCTATTGACTGTAGGAGCGGGAGAGGATGAATCTACGTATTGCTGCCTATATTTTGCAGAAATGTAAGGTTTAGTGAGAACTGAAAATGCGAATGGAAGCAGGGAATGTGAATACTAAAACACACGTGTCAAATGCCGGGTCTTTATTTAACCGGTGAGACGTTATTAATACAGAAGGTCATTCTCAAGTCTAAAATTATCCGATTAGCACGGTTGGTTATGTTCGGTGTGAAAGAAGTTCAACATACATACAATATCCCAATTTAGACTGGCAATCCATTGTGGGTAAGGAGGGATGATCATGGGTGAGACGGTAATGTATCTATTATCACAATCGGAGCTCGCTGCACAAATACCCAGATACACGCACACAACCCGTGCCTACAAGCACAACGCGGACGCATTACACAGCCACCCACTTAGCCTCCTCCCTCCCTTCCACCCAGGCCTTATACACGCTAATTCCCAGGTGTGTGCAGCCCAGCATCGGGAATTTGTTTTTGTGCTTGGCTCAGATCGGATCGGCAATTGCATGAACCGTATAAATTACTGTCCACCCCATTCCTCCTCCCCGCCTCCGGCCGGTTGTGATTGTTTACAGGCCTGTGTGGTGGAGATAGTGGATCTCATACTGATGTAGGAAATTGCCTTGCTTGAGTCAAAACCTTTCTCGTGTTAACTGTAAAAGCTGGTGTGCCCCAACTTGTCAAGAAAAACAGCGGTGTTTGTGCTGCCTAAGTGAAATTATATCAGGGAAACAGCAATGAGATGATGGAAAAGTATACCATAGTGGGTGAGAGAGGCGGTTTAATGAATGTGCCAGCGATTGGTAATTGGCAGATGGGCAGCCTCCATTCTTCACATTTTGAACATAACCTCGGAGTAATTCGTTTCACATGGTGATGTACACCACTTGTCCTTTTAAAAAGCTATGAACATTCTGTTGGCCTGACACAAACTATTACGCTCTCCAGTCTGCATATTGTAAACTACACAGACTCAGCAGATAGATGATTGAATTTACATGGTCATTCCAGACATTCACATGCTTTATAGTCGTGATATAATCGTTCATTATGTTGATTGCAATACGTGCCAGTGTTGCATGATGAATAGCATTTAATTATTGCTCTGATTTTTATAGACATGTTGACCCAGGCCACCCTTTGCAAACGAGACTGCTGGTACCTCGATCACGCGCCTGGTTACACAATAATCCTGAAACTCGAACTTGGTGCGGCATGTAACCATAGTTTAAAACTGCTACTTCAGAATGCGTTCACTTCACAAAGTGCTGCGCTCACTTCCTTGCCGTGTGTCTATTTCAGTTTTTTCTTCTTCTAACCATTTATCCTCACTTGTGTCTACCCCACTCCTCATGAGGATGACCACGTGAAGTGGATTTAATTTCAATAGGATAAATTATTCATTTTCTTGATAAAGACAAAAACTTTTTGGTATTCCAAAACACACCAGACAAACATCAGCATGTGCAGCTGTATTGCCCAAAGAAGACTTAGATATAGTTTAAATGGTTCAGGGGTAACTATAGAGGAAAGATGACCGTCGCTGAACGGGTCGATGGGCGGGCAAGAATAATAACGGCCAAGGAATGGAACGCGTCTGAGAGGACGTCCACCGGGGAGATGGAGCGATGAGATCGGTCCGCGTGCAGCAGGTGCTGGGTGCATTGTTGCATTGCAGGATCGTGAGAAGTGGCGGTTGGCTCGGCGAGTCCTGCATCCAGCAGTGGATTGGTGGCGGATATTGATGACGACGATGATGATGATGATGATGATCGAGAAGGGTTGGTGCCCGTTGTGTTTGCTGAACGCAGAGGGTTGAGGCAACGTTGCTCGCACTTTTCCAGAAAACATTCCCGAGAAGTGGACGCCGGAGGTGAAGCACTTCTGCCCCAACGTGCCCATCATCCTGGTGGGCAACAAGAAGGACCTGCGCAACGACGAGGGCACGCGGCGCGAGCTCGCCAAGATGAAGCAGGTGAGCCGGGGCGCGCGGACCGGGGCGCCGGCACGCACGGCGGGGCAGAGGGAGGGCCACGACCTCCAGCCAGCTGGCGGGATACGCTTCGTCTGGATGTGAGCGTTGTGCATGGCTCGCAATCAGAAGGTGGACTTGAGTTTAAAATCCCACCTGGGAGTTGATCTGCCCCCCCCATATTTCGAGGGCTGATACAAAATGAGTAACGTTTTTTGGGAAGTCGTCAAGCATATCTCCCTGGATGCCCCTTGCCATAGAAATATGGCGTTTCTAGCAATGGTTTAGGACTGTAAAAGGATGGGTCCTCCTTTGAATGAGAGGCTACTTATATTGTTTTAGACTTAAAAACATGTATTTGAACCATACGAATGTTAAATACAACTTGCTTTTATAAAACTTCTACAAAAACTAAATGCATTTGACTAAACGGGACAGAATTCCAATGCGTGGCCACACGTGGCCGCGTGCAACTCCAGCCGCGATTTCAAAAGCCGCGTTGACCCAGGGATCACCACTCCTGTGCTGCGTTGGCCGTGCGCCTCGGCCGTAGGAGCCCGTGAAGTCCGAGGAAGGGAGGGACATGGCGAACCGCATCAACGCCTTCGGCTACATGGAGTGCTCGGCCAAGACCAAGGACGGCGTGCGCGAGGTGTTCGAGATGGCCACTCGTGCCGCACTGCAGGTGCGCAAGCGCAAGGGCAGACACCGCTGCCTGCTGCTGTAAGCCGGCCCGCACCCTCGCCGTGGCCCGCACCCTCGCCGTGGCCCGCACCCTTGCCGTCGCCCCCCCCATAACCGAGAGGTCGCCTTCCGCGCAACGCTCTCGGTGCGGAAACCACTAAGGCAGTCGACGAGTGAATAGGAAGCCGTCACCACGAAACTTAACCGTCCCATCTGGCTGCGAATTGAATGTTTGCCCACGGTGTGTCCTGTCATCGGGTTAGACCCACGTCTTCACCGGCCGCGGTGGCATACCATCGCTTTAAATTCACCGGGGTTAGCGTGCGGTTAGTTCAGCGTGGCGAGCCAACGCGTGGCAGATGTTTCGCGTAACCGTGACTTTGCGCTGCAGGGGGTACGTGGTCCTTTGTCGTGTCCGCAGGACAGCAATTGATAAGCCCAACCAAAACAATGTCATGAAATTTAAACGACCTTCTTGGAAAAGTTATGTAAATAATTTTGACCAGTTTTCTAAGAAACGGGGAACACAATTGCGTCCAGTGGTCCCACCACCTGATGTTTGGCAACGCACCTTTTCAGATCAGGCACGTATCTCATCGTTGTAAAATCATGAAAAGCAAAGTGCGAGGGTGCTCTAGCCTAATTATATCTAACCTTTGTTGTACGGCACAAGCTTTGGAAGCGGGTGTCACTGGAAATCATGCTGTTTATTGAACAGTTGGTACTGTTTTTTGGTGCATGGCGGTGCATGGTGAAACACATTTTGAGATTGTTAACAAACGTTAAGCATTTAGCTAACCCCTTGAGCAAAAATAATGCATCGATCACTACTAGATCTGGTTGTTAAGAAATCTTTTTTTTACTTATATGCTTAAAGCCAAATAGTAATTTCCAAACTTTTTATGAGTTTTGTGGTTCCAAAATTCCGCAGCAGTGCCCATTATATGAGTGAATGGTTGTTTGCATTCAGAGAATGCAGTTCTGAATTTCACAAAATAATTGAATTCAAGAAAATATGCTGTCGGTCAAGTGCATATTTAAGAATCCTTTTGCACACATCACAGGATTAGTATTTTTTCTTTTTAAGTATTTTAGGTAAAAAAAAATCAAAATTGCTTTGCAGCTTACTGCAAAGCTGCATTTGGTATCTGTGATGTGCATTGTCTGTGCTAAAGTAGTTGTGTAACTTTTTGAGTGATTTTAATATTTGAATGCAATGTAATCTTACTTGGCTAGTACAATGTAGATTTTACAAGTTGCTTTGGAGAGCTAACATTGGGAATTTTCTTGTGGTGCTGTGGTCAAGAGACTCTTCTGCACAAATACATACCTGCCAACCCATACGGTTTACCCGTATTCTTATACAGGGAAATTGAGTTTTCAGGTTCATACAGCGTGCAGCCTTTTCAATACGGGCAAAAAGAAAAAGTCCTATGTGTTTGTGTTTCTCCCTTGTGATGGGACTTTGTGGTATGAACGTTGAGCTTTATAAGGGCACGGTGTGACCAATAAGATCTGGATTGGTCTGTAATAGGGTAGGGCACTGATAAGGGGTTGACAGGTATGTACATATGTTGTTAGCTGTTGACTGAATTCACAAAGCACTGTATTAACCTGTACTCCTAACTACTATTACCCTTAAAATAGGAAGTATTTTTTAAGGGAAAGCTACGTCATCTATTTCATAGTGTTTTTATTAAACAAAACTCAAACCTTTAAATCAACAATGTGGCTTTTGAGTAGCTCATCATGTCAATACATTCTTGAATCTTAGTTCTGAAAGAAATAGCATTGTGGACATCTTTAGTGGTTTTTTATTATCCTAAAATGGACTCTCGTACATACAGTGAAATACTTTTGAAACATCTCATACTTCCTGCCAACTGCTGAAACATCTTCCTGGGCACTTATATACATTTGCAAACGTTTGAGAGGTACTACTCGTTTAGAATAATGAAAAAATATCCAAACACATCAAAGATCCAAAATAGAGGATTTTGGCTTGGATCACGTAAATGTGTCGTTAAACCTGCCGTCACCCGACACAGCCAACTAGTAAGAGTTGTCACGTAAACAAAACGTGCCAATCCGTTACTAGTACAGCACACCGGTGTGTTGGAGAATAAATCCACAACATTTACAGTTGTGAATCTACACAATTTATATTTACACGATCTAACCAAAAAATCTCTTATGGATAATATTGGTCACGAAAGCCTAACTACGTGTTCAACTGCCATCAAAGATCACGAACAAGTGCAAACAAGGAGTAACTAAAGTGTTTCGTGTCTGCTTTAGATGCTTTAGCGCTGTTGATTCAACCCGCCGGTTGTCGAACCGCCTTTCTGTTACACGCTCGGCTCAATATAACGCAACGGTCATCATGCCCGTGGCTGCTTTAGAAAGCTGTTGGCCGGTTTGCATGCGTTGCCATCGCGGTATGTGGCATTGGTTAATACTCGTGCATGATATGTGTGCGTGTGTAATATATACAGGGGCAGTGTCATTTTGTCTGGAATATTGACATCTGTGCAGTATACGTCTATTAGTTTTCTTGTCACCTGTGGATGCAAAAAAAAAAAACATTTTAAATATATCCTTAGCCACTGTTGAATTTGTACCACATATTAGGCAGAATAAGGATTTGCATTTATTTGGCACTTTTATTCCACAGCATCGCAAAGCGCCTTACAAAGTACAAATCGTGAAAAGGACATAAACAAGCATCATGACAGGGGAAAAACTAGAGGGGAAAAATAAGACATTAAGACATACAAGAGCAGTGAGTGAAGGGTATCGCTGTGACCGGGATACACCATGATGTCTGCACACGTACACGTGAGGTGTGACGGCCACCAGGAAACCCAGCGTCGGCAAAGAGTCCAGGGAAAAGTCTGGCAACACAATGGAAGAAAATGACCCCGATTGGGAATGCCCCTGTTCCATCCATCGTGTTGGCAGCCCTTGCCCAGGACTCTGCTGACGCTTGGGATTTTGATGGCTGCGATGTCCCGATGTGCGTACGTGCGTGGGTCGTCACTTGTGCCTGTGATGTCCCTTGCTCGTCATTTTTCACGTCTTTTTCCCCCAATCCAGCTGCAATCCCCTTCTTTTGCCACGCTTTGTGGCTCTGTGTGGGTTTTCTCCACGGCGCGTTGAGATTCTGCTCTGTTGAAGCGCCAAGTGAACGCAAGTCCACTTAGCCCTGGGAGTTTACTGGGAAGTCGCGTGGTTGCATCTCGTGTGCGCACAAACTCCGCAAGAACATTGCGGCTAGAGAGAGCTTGACACCGCACTGCTACGTTCAATGGCGTTGCCGTTGGAATCGATGCGAGGGCGAGAGTTGTGCTTCAAACTACAGAGATACTTTTGTTTGTAGTTGTATTGTCATGTTTGTACCAAGACGATGTTAAAACAACTCGACAATTGCCTGGTCCTTGGCTTTGCACACAAGCACACACAGAGGAAAATTGCATGTTGGTAATACTGTATAGCCGTAGTCACTCGTGCTTGAACCACGAATTTTGAACTGATGCGGTTTAATGTGTAGTCTTTTAACTTGAGTAGCTATGGGGCTTGGATAATGTGTGTAGTTGAACATTAACACGATGAACATTAACTGCACTGTGTGAACTATTGACATGAAATGTTAGCTCGCCGGAACTAATGATATTAACTTTTGGTTCGCCTAACTGCTCTTTTGTCCTGATGAGGACCTTTTGCTTCTTAATGTACATTTCGTTGCCTTCTTGGGCATTGTGAACCTAAAATGCAAAGCTTGAAATGTGGATTTTTATTTGGTATGCAAAGATGTTGTATCAGTATTGGTGTTTTCCGAAATACATTTCAAATTGATCATGAAGTGCAGCTTTTGAAACCAAGAATTCTCTTCGGCAGTAATGCACATGTCTTCAATGTTGTTGATGTGATTTGTATTGAAAAAAAGTCCAAGGAATTAAAAAGGAACTATTAAAGTAATGTGGTCAATAAATCTACGAAAAGGTCAGGGAGTCATTTGCGAGAAAGAAAATGAGAATTTCAACATCTTTGCAAGAATAGAAATGCATCCACATGAAATATCTTACAAATAAAGCATCTGAGATGTGTTGGAAAAAACTGGCCTTTATAATAGTGGCACTTATTTAGCTGCTCTTTACAAACGAACTGTACAAGTCAGCATATGCCATAATAAAGCTGCTTTTAACAGCCAGAGATGTTCATGAATTAATACGGCGAACGCATCCGCAACGACGCGGCCCCTCCACCTCCATGCTCGCGCGGACTCCCCCGGTCATCCTCCTCGGCGGCAGCGGCGGCAGCGGCGGCAGCGGCTTGTGGCGAGCCATCGAACAAGACGGTCACTGCGTCGTGCATTCAGATGCACTTCTGCGGCCACCTGGGACGCTCTTCGTTATTAGATTAGGAAGCCACTGGAGCTATGCGCTTTCAAATCCATATTGAAAGCTCATTTCTTGCGAACTCCTTTTTGTGTTTAGTTGTCCTTTCCCCCCGCACCTCGGATTAGCACCGTTGGCTACGGACCTATGTGCCATGAGAGAGCTGCATCCGTTGGAAGGCGTGAATGAATCGACCGAGCGATTTGTTTACCTTCTATGTCCATAATACAGTTTTTTACGGATTGGATCGCATAAATAAACCCGCCACCACCAGACACAGCCAATTAGTGAAGGTTTGTCACGTAAACAGAACGTGGCCAACTCGTTACTAGTGCAGCACACCGGTGTGTTGGAGAGAAAATCCACAACATTCACAATCCTGTGTGCTGTACTCGTCCTGGATTTACTCTCCAACACACTGGTGTGCTGTACCAGTAACAAACTGGCACGTTGTTCTCGTGAGAAACCTTAGTATCTGGCTGTCGGGTGGTGGCGGGTTTAACGACACATTTATTTTTACTCGATGTAACCCAAAAAAACCCGTATTATGGATACTGGTCACGAAAGCCTACGTGTTAAACCACCTTGTATGTGTTTGTGTATTTTTTTGCGTGATAATGTAAAAAAAACGCACAACGGCAACGATGCAAATGTTCGTGCATCTCGCCGTCCACTCGTTGAGGACGTCGCTCACGGACGCCTCGATGGCGAATCGTTCGAGTGACGGTGCTGGTTAGGGGCGAGCGTTTGGCGTCGAGTGCCGCGGGGCTGGTTAGGGGCGAGCGTTTGGCGTCGAGTGCCGCGGTGCTGGTTAGGGGCGAGCGTTTGGCGTCGAGTGCCGCGGGGCTGGTTAGGGGCGAGCGTTTGGCGTCGAGTGGCGCGGTGCTGGTTAGGGGCGAGCGTTTGGTGTCGAGTGCTGGTTAGGGGCGAGCGTTTGGCGTCGAGTGCCGCGGGGCTGGAAGGGCAATGGAGACACATCTAAGTAATAAATGACACCGAAAATATTCCTGCAAGTCGAGGAGTTATGCTCTTAACGGCAAGTGAATACGTTCTTTGCGGCATTTGTGTAATTACCCCTCTTATCTTTCGATTTAAAGCTTTCGTGACTGCAGGGATTCATATTCTTGGTTTTTTCGGTAAAGTCACAGAAGGGAAATCATAAAATAAAACAATATTCTCACGACGTTTTGATTGCAACACAAGCAATTATCATAAGGTGTGAAAACCACAGCAAGAAAATTTGAAAAAAATTAAAAAAACATTTCTTGCTGTGGTTTTCACACTTGATGATGATTGCTTGTGTTGCAATCGAAACGTCATGAGAATTGTGTTATTTTATGTTTTATTTGTATTATTTTATTCTTTCCCTTCTTTGTGACTTTACCAAAAAAAACAAGAATATGTACCCCTCTTATCTTTGCATTGTGTATGCACATTTTCAAGTGTTATACTGTATTGCTGTATTATCATACCATTAGTCTTGTTGGAATACCCTTATATTGCAGCATGCAGTATATATACACACACATGCACGTGTGAATGCAACATTTTGCACATACACTGCACGTGTGTGTACAATGTATTGTATGTTGAACTTCTGCACCGTACGTAGTCAACCGCGCAAAATTTTTTTTTCTATTTATATTTAAAAGTGCACAGCTCCAGTGGCGTGCTAATATCGGAAGGGAAGAGCGTTCCAAGCGGCCGCAGAAGCAGCACGCGAAGCGGTGACAGCCGCCTTTGTTCGATGATGGGCCGTGACGTCGTGTAAGAGAAACACCTGAAGTGCCTGCAGGTGAGTTAAGTGGAATCGCTTGGCTAATGCTCTGCAAAAGAAAGTGTGTTTCAGTCATTTTCCGTATTCAAACACGACAACGACAGCCGCAGGCGGTGTATCGATCATCTTAAATTATTTTAATCCAATAAATATCCAACATGCTCCGAGCTCCACATTACCAACAAGCAAATCAAAGACGAGATCGAGACATGCAACAGAAATGCGTCGTCACCACCACCACCATCACCCGGCCTGGCCAACAGCTGAGGTCTCATGTCGCAGATCGACACTGAACGTTTTACACCGCAGCAGCCGGCACTCACAGAGTGAACTGCAATGTCCGTTATAATCAATCGCACTCATGCTTGCTACATTTTTGTTATGCGTCTCCGTATACATGGCAGGCTAAATCGGAGAGCAATAGTCGATATGCTGAAGAGCTGGAATGGCTTTGCTTGGAATGAAGAAGCCAAACGAGCCACACAGGAAATGTAACGGTTACCGCTGTACAGCTTGTTGCGAGAGCAGCTTTTTATGATACAATTTTTTGTGTAAATATATTTGTTGCGAAATTTGCATAGAACCAGTTTACACATTCCGAGTTGCAATTAATAATTTCACACCTTAATTTGCCTCACTTTTCTATGTTTTCAAAGCAAAATACCTCAAATCCACAGTGTTAACACTTCAATGCAAACAATTACAGCGCTATAATTCAAACCGCTACCGAAAAAGATGACAAACGCCAATTTGACGGGGGGGAGGGGGGAGATTTTTGTTGTTAGGCCAAAAACCAATTGACATTGAGAACCATTCACCACCGGCTCATCAGACGTGTCTGTAAAGTACAAGTTCTGATGTCGCACACGGGAATCGAGGCAGAACAAGAGGTGAATCAACAGGACTTTTTGGGGCAACAATGTTATTTTTGCGTCGTAAATCCACCTAAAATAGAGCGAGGATACGGCCCAGCAACGGACTCTGAATGGATGAGCTCCGCCGATGACTCCTGGTCCCCAGGGTTGGGGACTGAACGCTGATTGATGGACCACAGGAAAACCTGGGCATTAGAGCAATCTCCAATCACGGGCCATGTGTTGTTTCGTTGAATGCAACTTGAATCGCATTGTGTATTCCTTTCATTTGGGAACGGTTTATTTTGCCGACCATATCTACCGATACATATACAAAGGAGAAGTTTCCTTCGTGAAATGTCTATTGTTTATAGCCGTGTAATCACCCTAAATAGTTAAGTCTAAAGATATTAAAAAATCAATGGTTCATCGTGGAATTTGTACAGTATTACCCTTTTGCTTATAATGCTTATTCTGAGCCGTCCATAATTTGAGGTACGCTGGGAATCTTTTTTTTTTTAACATCCAACATTTTTGTTTAGGCAACTCAAAGTAAAATCTGCCCTCGGTCTCGTAAGAAACCTAAAAAAATAGGAAACTTTGCACTGACACGCGCGAACGGCGGGCCCGCTGAATGTGTGTATTTAACGCTGCGATGAAACCACCCCCCCCCCCCTCCCTTAAAGTGATTTGACAATCTAAATATGCACGAACGAACACAAATAAACAAATATCACACGTACTGAAAACTCCACTTTGATCTGTGCCAGGACTTGGTCCAATAAATATAACGGTGGTGGCGTTATTTTTTACTGCACCTAGGCAAAGCACAATTGGCACGCAATGATATGTGAAATGCAAAAAAAAACTTCCCAACGTGGGCCTTTCCAGAACCCAGAACTATTCTGCGTTGATACAAATAAATATCTCCGTGAAAAGGACTACATTTCTGTATTTTTACATGCCATCTCCAGACACCGGGGTCAGAACATTCTCAATCTTTCTCAAATCACACTACGGCATTGAAACTCAACTTTTTTTTTGTATTTTACCAGGTAAGACCCACTGCGATATATACTGTAGCTCTTTTCAGAAGTGACCTGGCCAAGGGCGATAGCTCAACGAAGTGGCTTATCACGTGGCAATATATGATCACAGCCATAATACTCTAAACGCACGTTAATTCTAAATGTGGAGGGGAAACAATCGAAGGACTCCAAGAAAATGTCACGCGACCACAAAAAAAAAACACATTCAAACTCTAAATATACAGGTGTCGTCGGTATTGAACCCACAACCTCCTGCATACCAGGCGAGGTAGTTAACATCTCGCCACCGTGGCGGCCATGGGATTGATTCCTGACACGGGCGACTTTCTGCGTGTTCTCCTCTTCTGTGTGGATTCGTTTCCTCCACCTGTTTCTTCCCATAGCAATTGTTGTTTTTTGTTTTGCAATGTAACCGGTGTTGGCCAAACATTACAATGCTGAATAATTAGCTGCAAATTATTCAATTGGGATTTCGTTTGGCAACATCACCCCCCTCCCCCTACTCGATGAGGCTTTCCTGGGTAAACAGGCCGGTAATAAAATCATTTTACTTTTTTTCTGTGGGTGATGTACTGTCAAAAATGATCCCATGCCTATACTTTTGTCCAATTTTTTAATATTAAATCCCTTTTCTAAATCACAAAAAACAAATCGGGCTAAACTGTCAACTTGCTTGCAGAGGGCAGTGGCGTTTTTTTCTCGACAGGTACGAGCTGGTTCTCATTTTGCTCAGGATGTGGTACATTTGCATGTGCAGCATGGTGTTCTGTTTACCACAGGGTTAACAGAAAGACACGTAACCTGCTACAAGTGCAACACCAAGATTGTCATCCTTCAAAAGTGAATGCAATCCAAGGAATTAGCGAGGCATACGAGTACCGTATTCCATAATAAAAGTGAAATATAAATTAACTATTGAGTCAATCACTTGATTCAAGACTTCTATGTGGACATCGCTCATCTATGGACTTACTAAATTGCCAAAACCTAAAACTGATTTATAAGAATATTTACTTTTTTTTCTATCTACGTGGCTTCACCGAAAGACCAAAAGAATATGAATTCCTGCAGTCACGAAAGCTTTAGTCAAGATTTGATTTATAAGAAGTTATGTTAAGTATCGAATTTTCCTTTGCTTCCAGCAATAGAGTTTAACACTTCAGGTGCCCACAGTAATGTTTGAAACAAGCGATGCATAATCCCTGCCAAGTACCAAGTTGCGAGAGAATGTAAACTGAAAATGGTGCTAGGCATTGTGAAATAATGTCTTAACTACGAAGAAATGTATAATAAAGCGTTAAATGTAATGAGGTTTCGAAGCCAGATCTTGGGAGTTCAAAGATCGATGACAGCACCATCAGCGTGCGAGCGGGAAGCGGTGGTGCAGTGGTGTAGCGGTCAGCACGCTGCGCTATGAACCCGACGACACGAATTGGATTCCCGCTCATGGCCAAGACCATTGACGAGTTTCTGAACCGGACCTGGGCCTCCCCTAGGTCAACTCAGCCTCAAATGAGTACTTGGTGCGGTGTGTAAACATCGCCACTGGGGAGACAAAGGCGGCCGGACGTGGTGTTGGCCACCCACCCCAACAGTTTGTTGCAGGCGCTAAGGGGGATCTCTGTTTTGTGTTTTGTACAGCGCCGTGTGACCTCTGGATGTAAGATGCTTCTAGAAGTGTAAATTATTCTCCAAGTGCAAGGCCGCCTTGGCCAGAAATACCACGCATGTCACTGCAGGTCACATGTTTTTAATGTACACTGGTGCACACCGATATTTCACCAATGAGTTCTATCCGATTGAACGCCGTCCATTTTTTTTTTACATTCGGCAGATCACACACGGTCCCGCAAAGTTGCGCCGCAAACCAAGCACGCGTGAAAAGTGCACACCGGCTCCGCGAAATTAAAAACCCACGGCCGCGTACGTCGGGAGCAAAGGTGCGAGACAGAGTTTAGCGCGACGATGGAGACGACTTGGCAGAAACACTGAAGGGCGCGTGCGTATCTCGTGGCAGGAAACGGCAAAGGTGGAAATTTCTCACTTGCCATGCTGCAGAACTCTTCAGCATTGCAGTTCCGCTCTTTATCCGCATGGGTTCGAAGCCTTAAGACTGTGTGTGTGTGTACACCACAAGTGGGGGAAGCCGGTCAAACGGACCTACGTCCAATAGCTGCCAACGTAGCAAGTTGCTGAATATGGAGGGAGATCGGGCAGGGCAAGAAGTGGTATTATGCAGAGAGAGAGAAGCGGGCGGGGGGGGCACATTGCGTACAACAAACGACCCCCGCTCCGCCCCGGGGGGGGGGGGGGGGGGCTGACAACTGGGTGCTTGTAAATCACTGGGGGGGCCATGGAAGCATCGCCACCAGTGGCGCCACCCAAACTCGCCGACTCGAGAAGAGACTCCGACAGTGAGCGGTGCTCCTCTCATCCGCACGCCACACGCAGCACGACGGCGGCGCACGGCTCGTAAGGTGGGCTAGCCAAGTGAGACCTGACGTTTCACTGATTATTCTTTATTTCTCCAGGTAACGAGGCCCACTGAGCTGCATATCTCGTGTTGCCCCCCCACCCCCTTCTATTCTTGGCCGGGACAAGGGATGTTGAGTTTGACCCCAGCGGTGGCAGCAGATGTGCTTTAGCACCCACGTGCGATGATGGGCCAAGGCTGGGAATTAATTCACAGGGGGATTGAATGGATTAACGTTGTCGTGGGGATTAGCCAGTGCAAGACTGAAGCAGCGGTGACTATATTTCGTTTAACGATGACACGCTTTTCAAAGTTGGGATATTAAAGTGATGCACTTATCAGTAGTCTCCATACATTACTCCCGACTATCAATGCTGAAACTTCTGCCAGCAGTGGCATGAGCAAGCAATTGCAAGGCTGCGCCTTTACCTTCTATCAAAGTACATGCTTGTTCAATTATGCCGGGACGCAAATATGGGACCTTACTTTCTGGCACAAAACACTTCAGTGTGCTTTCTTAACACTCTTGCCACAACTCGTGTTTTCAGAATGAAACACGAATTCCAAGTCGTCATGATTTACCACCTCGGCTCGTTTTCCATCTCCACTTTTCTGTGAGCAACACAACAATGTTGGCATGGACCGGCGGCATGAACGATGACGACGAAGCAGATGCACGCCAGCAGGTGCACATGAACACAGCCTTGCGCAAGTTGTTTGCGACTATCGCTCGCGTAAGTGGACGCAGTACAATTCCACGAGGCAGACGCACTCTTAACTCGAAATAACACTTCTTCTGCATGGAGTATAAGCAGCAGATGCACATTTTATTCCCACGTGCACTCAGGCCTACCAAATTGCCAAACCGGAGCTTTTTGGGTTAGATCGCGTAAATATAAATGCGCCGTTAAGCCCGCCATCACCCGACACAAATACTTAGTAAGGTTTGTCACTAAAACATGCTAATTCATTATTAGTGCAGCACACTGGTTGTCTGTTGGAGAGTAAACCTACGACAACATTTACCGTTCGATTACTCGAATGGCGGGTTTAACGATACATTTATATTTACGCGATGTAACCCATAAACCTCTATTATTTATAATATTGGTTGCGAGAGCCGACCTGTCAGATTGCAACACTGGGCTCACGTACACGTTAACTCCAGTGAGCAATGGCAGCTGCACACACACACACCAGCGTAGCATTCACAGCAATGGCCTGAGGCAGCCAATTAAGGAACGAAAGATTGTCTCTCAAATAAATAAACTGAAAATATTCTTGGTGGTATATAAAAAAAGGAGAACGGCGGCTTAGAACAAGCACAGGTTGGAGGCTGTCTAGTAGCGGGCGACAGAGTTGAGATCCAGAATAAGGGCCGGTTCTAGCTATTCGACAAGAAATTGAGCGACAAATTGTGAGTGGCAAATGGGCTCCAAGAATCGGTATCCCAACTGCGAGCGGAATCACGTGGGTCAGGCAGACCGCCTTCACTGCCAGAACGCCACCGCTTGGGAAGGACGTTCCAGTCGTCGGCGGAACGGTTTCGGCAAATAACAAATCACAAAACAACTTGGTAGAGTCACTTCCTGTTACCCAACACTCCACAATGCTCCTTCACGCTCCGTGCCACGTTCCTACATTCGCCAATCTTCCAATAAACACACAAAATTAAATCGAAATTTAAACACGTTCCCGTTTTTCATTCTTCAAGACAGGACTAGACGAATAGGGAAAACCAACATTTGATGGGATTCTGTAGGCGTGAACCAATCACCCGCCCACCCCGGCGAGATTCAACGTAGCGGCACGACTGGAGGTCGTGACAAAGGAATTCGCTTCTATTTTCGTCCCTTGCAGTTCGATGCAAAATAACGAGCGCCGGGTTTCCAGGAACCAGTTACAACAAAAACACAATGCAGATCGCGAGTTCCTACGCGCGCACGCGATCTCACGTGGACGCACCTTTGAGCAAGAGGCGACTTTTTAATCGATGGATCGTTACACGCCATCAATTCTGCCGCTCCGTTCGGTCCCCTAAACACCGCGCTTGAAAACAATCGGTATGTAATCTCCGCCGGAAAACCCAAAGTCGCAACAGAGCTTTGCACGGTGATCCGACACCGCCGCTAATTTGTTACACCATGAGGAAGTGGGTGCACAAGCACAAAGAACACAACACCGAGCACGTTAATCAATAGCGCTGCGATGAAGAGAGAAATACATCGAATATGCGACGTTTCAGGCAATGGCCTTCCTTCAATAGCAGACGGCGTGATGGTGTAACGGTGCCAGTCTCCCACCTATCATCTACTCACACTTTCAGGCCTATCTATGCGACTGCTTCCGTTTTGACGGGCAGTGTGAGTGATGGACGAGTTGCGTTGTAGCCACAGCCAACAACGGGTGCCAGAACAAAACCCAGCCCCACCAATGAACCCACTTTTTTCAAAGTTTTGAATCCGCAACAGATATTATAACACCGCCCATGTATGTGCCGTTTGGGTGGAGCAGTGGTTAGCACACTGTGCCTTGAACTCAAGAGCCCGAGTTTGATGCCTGGTCACGGCTGACATTAGTGGAGACGACTAACTATGTATTAACTACTATTTTATTTTACCAGGTAAAGCCCACGGAGCGATGTAGCTCTTTTTCAGAGGCGACCTGGCCACAAATGATGGCTCAACGAAGTGGCTTATCACGTGGACATTTATAGCAGCCAATTACTCTAACAACGCATGCTGATTCTAAATGTGACGTCTGCATTCATCCTGGGTCCCACTTCACAAACCTGCAATGCTCAACATGGTGAAGTATGATCAATCAAACCCCGATGACCAATATGGTGTGTACAGGCCTTCATCCAGCAATTCATTGACAAAGGGCTCTAGTATGTGTTTGTTATGTGCTGTGTATGTGCGCAAATTTTAGAACTGCAACTACTACCACAAGGTATAATTGACCACTGCTGTCATTAGTGAACAATTTGGCATTTGGGACCGATTGCCATTTTAAAGATATTCAACGTGTGCTTCCTGATCATTTACAGGCTTTAATGGGAGGATTCAGTGGCATTGGCCAGCCCTCTCTGACCCGAAGGCAGCTTAAACAGCGACATACACATTGCCCTTTTGTAATTTCAACTTAAATTCACTGCGGGAAATAACACGCGTACGCACGCACACGCAACGACCCGTCTGTGCGCTCGCAAGTTCAGAGATCCCTGCTGCTGGCGACCTCAAAATCGCCAAGTAGAAGAACACCCCGTTGCAGAATTCACAGTGAAAGGGGAAATAAAAATAAGGCAAATGGCTTTGAGAAACGCAAACGGGAACCCAGCACAGAGCAGGGTGATGCGAGGAGAACACTCAATTCGGTCACTAGGCAGCATTTGACTTGGCAATGTTTAGTGAGCAACACCGCTGATATATTAAAGGCAGATTACCCTCAGTGCGTACACACATGTACCACATGTACCACATGCGTGTACGCACCGTGTATTTACGCGAGACATATGATGATCCACCATCACCCCCCGCCGCCCCCGCCTCGATATGATGAATCGTGTCCCGATTCAGGGTTAAAAATTCCAGGATTTCAAATTGCATCTCGTTCGTTCACTCGTGTTGTTACTCGTTTGCTGCCTCGTCTGCAATCTCAATTGCTCCACTATTAGCCTAAAGGTAACGTTTGCATACGGTCCGAGTAGAATTTACATCAACACAGCAATCGACCCTCTCCTGGACGATTGCACTCACGTATTGTGAGCGTAAGAAGGAACAAGTTTCAATCGTCGAATCATTACCGGCCTCAAGCAAAACCTTGCTATTCTTAAAGACGAGTTTCTCGTCTCTCAAAGGGGGAATTTGCCCTCCGAGCGGTCCCGAACGGATCAATAACAGCGGCGAGTGGCTCTCCGGTGAGCTTCCACGTCGCGCGTCCTCCTGCACGACGTCCCGACGTCTTCGCGCTTCACACGTGTTTGGAGCCGCTTCCCGGAACGGAATATCAGAGTTCCCGGAGAGCGCCCGCGTTTCCTCGTACGTCATACCGACTTGCTGAAGAAGCTCCCAGCACGTGAAGCGAAACGTCGGACGTCGTGAATGACAAAAGCGCTACGGGACCCCGAAGCCACGTCGGAGAGCCCCGGGCAGCAAAACCGCGAAAACCCACGGCGAGGCTCACGACGGGGAGCGGCGTGAGCTGCGTCTAGTCCTGTGTGCAACCCGTGGCAAGCGAAGTGTTTCCTGCTTAAACATTCAACAAGAAATAACAACGTAAATCGATAGGTCGTAAGGAACAAAAAAATTATCAGATGGTCGCAAAGTTATTCGAAGCCGGAAAAACTATTTTAAGTGCACGTTTCTATACCTCATCTCCAGTTGTCCGTAGTCAACTGCTGCCCGCTGCGTTTATATATATATAACATATATTTATATATTAGTTATATATATAGTGCTTCGCAATCATTCCATATGCAGGTGCATTCTCAACAAATTGGCACGGCGATAAATATGAGGCGACATAAATATTCAGAGAACGAATAGTAACAACAAAGCAGCATCGTGTAAAAATGTAGATAATCTCACGTAAATAAAGACTTCTTTTCGTCAACTTAAAATTATGCGTCACCAAAAACAAAAGTGCTTAACACGGTGGGCGAAACAAAACGTACAGGCGGCTTGCAAACGTACGAATCTCTGTGCAAATGAAACTGGCTTATTCCACTCGGCGGCGTGCGAGAACCCCGCGTCTGGGTTCACACAGACCCAGCTGCACCCCTCGGCGATCGCCAGCCCCCCCCCGGCCCCCCCCGCCCACAAAGCCTCGAGAGGGAGGCGCACGCGGCTAATGCGAGCGCGTGCGCCGGTTCATGCGAAGTAAACCGAGACCCTGTAGCCCAGCAGCAGCGGCGGCGGTGGAGGCGGCGACGTGTGCCGTGCGTGGGGAGAGGTTTTGCCGTCGGTGCGCAATGCTCGATCACGTCGCGTTCGCACCGCACTGTCCGACACGATTCTACCGTCGCACGCACAAAACCTCAACCCCCGATGGAGACGTGATTTGCAGACCGATGTTGAAGCTGCTCCAAACACGCTGCGAATTACAATTTTCTCAGCACAATGACCGATGTGCTATGTACAATTTGGTTGTTCAGCACTAAGGCAATAACACGGAGTGTGTAGGTGTGTTGCTTGTGTATTTGCAGCTGGGTAAAGGATCCAGACAATTGGTTGCTTAAAACAAATCAAATGTCAGGAGCTCCAACACCATACGTTCCAGTAAGACACTAAATGTAAACACAAACATTGAACGTATGCACCGTATCGGCGCACATATACAGCATACAAAACAAGCACCTGGAAACACAATACGCATCCAAAACGGTCTCAAACCGGAGTCATTCGACGCACGCAATAACTTACTGCCAAATCAGCACAAAGGGGCAAAAGTCTCAAGCTGACACAGTAGCCATAATGGTCAGGGAGGGCGAAACAAAGAGTCTGCCTGGCTGCGAGACGCGACGATGGAGAGACGGCCGATGACGGTGACGCGCGTGGGGGCGCCGCCCCTGCCGGCCGCGGGGAGGGGGGCGTGGGACCGGCGGGATGAACGGCGCGCGCCTCCTCCCGTACGCGCCGCGGGCCGCCCCCCGCATCGCTCGAGAGATGCGGGGAGCGGCGACGACGGCGGCGGCGTAACACGCCCGGACGCGGACCGCGCGCCCGGCCACCGGGCGAATGCGCCGGCAAAACGAGCGACCCCGTTAAGATGGACGCGCTCGCGGCGCCTCCGGGCTTTTTGACTCTCCGCGACGGGCGGGGAGCGACGCGCCCAGCCCCGCGCGAGCGGAGGATGAGGAGGATGAGGAGGAGGGGGGGGGAGGGGGTGGTAACGAGTGGGGGTGAGGAGAGCGGCCACCCCGAAGCCTCGGTTTTTCCACGCGGGCGCGGGGCGAGCTTCACGCGGGGCGAGCGTCGCTCCGCGGGGCAACTTTCAGGACACGTCGTCGTCGTCGACGGTCCGTCCCTGTGGTGCGTTTTTGCCGCCGCGCAGATTTTCCCCGCGTGCGTTAAACTGACAGCGGCCATCAGCGACCCGGCTCGCCGGTGCGGTAGCCTTGACCTCGGGGCCATTTCGGGATGGGGGGCGGGGTGGGGGGTGTGGGTATGGTGGAAAGGGTCCCGTAGGGCACGCAAACACGCCCCCCTCCCCCGCACCGACGTCCCCATCGTGTTTTCGGTTTTGCATTTTCAAGGGCCGGCTTGCCCGTCCAATGGGACTGGCGCGGTCAGAAACGAGCGTGGAGGAGGGAGGAGCGGGCGCAGCGGGGTCCAGGAACTTAGTTTGTGTCCATGGAGTCCTCCTCGGCGCTGCTCGCGGCGCCGTTGTCCAGGCACTCCTCCTCCTCCTCCTCGTCCTCCTCCTCGTCCTCGTTGTCGCGGCGCTGGGCGGAGGCCGGGGCGGCGCACGACGACGACGACGACGAGGTGGTGGTGGTGGTGGAGGAGGTGGCGGCAGCGGCGGAGGCTACGGTGGCGGCGCAGGGAGAGCCCCGTGGGGACGGCGGCGCCGCCATCGCCGCGGCTCCCCGCGCCGCCCCCGCTCCGTGCGCTTTGCTCGCCGCGTCTTGCCGCTGGTAGAAGAGCACGTAGGCCGCCTTCGACTGAGCCACGGCGACCGCGTGCGGGGAGGGCGAGGGGGAGGAGGAGGAGGGAGCAGGAGTCGTCGGGGAGGAGGAAATGCAGAAACAGTGAGACGTCAACGGATTTGGCCTGGGTTCCCCATCAGGAGACCCGCGCGTCTCACTCGGGGATGCAGCCATTCAGAACCAGAATCCTCATTTATACGAGACAAATCCGATGAGCTATGAAGCTCTTTTTGCCCAGATGTCCAGTGGTTTTCACAGATACACGCAGCACCCAGATCTCACGCGTGAGCTAACGCGGCGCGACCTGTAGGTGCTGTACACCCCCCATCCCCCCCCACTCCCCCACCCCCACCGGCCACCCCCCCCACCTCCCACCGTGTTGGCCGTGCACTCCCCGGAGCTCGCTGGCCCACTCACCACGATCTGGTCCTCGGTGGCCGGCGACACGCTGCTGTCGTCGAAGTAGTACCAGTAGCCGTCATCCTTGTTCTTGGCAAACGCCGTGTCTGCGGAACGCAATTACCGCGGCGACGCGCGCATGCGCTCACACAGTCCGAACCGCCACGGTGACGAGATGTTAACTACCTCGCCTGGTGTACAGGAGGCCGTGGGTTGAATCCCGACCCTGACGACGCCTGGTGTATATTTGGAGTCTGCGTGTCTCTCTCTCATGATCATTATCATCACGGTGGCAGGGAGATATTAACTACCTCGCCTGGTATGCAGGAGGTCGGGGGCTAGATCCCGATCCTGACGCTTGCTGTATATTTGGAGTTTGCGTCTCATTCCCCGTGGTTGCGTGGATTTTTCTCCGGGTCCTTCGGTATTTCCTACCAGATTTAGATACATGTATTGAGATTATTTTGATTAATTTGATGCTATAAATGTCCAAATGATGGGTCACTTTGTTGAGCTATCATTTGTGGCCAGGTCGCTTCTGAAAAAATAAGTTAATACCTCAGTGGGCTTTGCCTGGGAGGATGGGGATGGTTTAGTTTTATTTGTATGTGTGTGGGTCATTTGTTTACCTTTCTTGTACTTTGCACTGTTTCTTGTACTGTTTGTTGTTGTAATGCCAGAACATCTGTGAGAAAGAGCTTTATAGCTCATCGGATTCCTCCAGTATAAATAAATATTCCGATTCTGAATTAAATTAAGAGATTACACCAAGTTGCAGTGTGGAAGGCTGCTTCGTCCCGAAACCCAACGCGACTTAACGATACGGCGGTTACACAACTTCACCCAGGGACATCCGAAGCCCCCAAATGTCTCTTCAGCAGCATGGCCCGACTCGGGACGTTGGGCAAGTCCATTTTTATAAAAATGTTGTGGGAGAAACTGGAATGCCCCGGTTAAAACCCAAGGAATCCTTGCAAAAGGTTAAAAAAATCTGTCCCTGGTGTGGACCAATCAGTTTCAAATGCAATGTATATATTACCAGAGAATGTTTGTGTTTGCATGTTCACCACAAGTATATGTGGGGTTAATGCAGACATGATTCCTTGAAAAAGTCTGCAAGTTTGCAGGGCGGGTGTCCCGTTCAACCGCTGAACCTCGGAACGCGCGAGCGGTTTCAGAGTTAATTTCAAGTAGAGAGGCGTAGTAGCGCCGTCGCTTTTAAAGACATTGTTACTCACCGCGGAGAACCGTGGCGACACGACCACCGCACTCTACGATAGCTGGCGCCAAGGTGTGCCACACGACCTCCCGCATGGCCTGTTACTCCCGATTCCATTCCGATGATGTAACATGCGCGTCATCGGAACGGAATCGGAAGAAAATCTGCTGATGTACACGTACGTCATCAGAATGGGAAAGGGATAAGTCAAAGCACATTGGTGATGTCTTGGAAGGGTACTTATGGACACATTAACATCGAATGCTGAACACGAGCAGTCCAGGGCATCTTCCCTGTGCTAAATAAACACAAGCATTGATGGCATGAAAGGAAGAGCTGCAGGATGTTGCATTGCGCACAAGGGTGGCGAGCTAATCACAGCGGGCATTATTCAAATTGTGTGTTTTTTTTTTATTAAACCACGGCTGCCGCTGCTGATGCGGCGGTGCGATGTGGGGCACTCACAGTGACCGCCCCCCATTCCTCCGTAGTGATTGGAGACAGCAATGAGGTCATATTTGCAGGGGCCCGGCTCAGGGTTAATGACAAACTCTGCCATGTCCAGATTCCTGCAGGACAAACACACCACGAGATAAACAAATGAAGCAAACGGATTAGTGCCAGAGTGCAGAGCAGTTAGAGTTGGGTCACTACATTACCAGGCCATTAACATTTTAACAAAAATAACACCGAAGATCTTGGACTCAATCGCCAACTGTTGAATGAATAAATGAGAGGCAAGTGGGGTTTGAATTCTCGAACCACTCTTTGGTGACCACAGTGGCGCTTGCACCTAATGTCAGGGAACCAGCAAAAATGCAAAGCAGCTGATGTGCATGACTGTGTTTTTCGGGAAACTCTTTCCAGACCGCTCCACTCATTTCAAAGAATCAGGTGTCATTAGTCCATGTAGTTTACGCAAATGACATTTGTAATGATGAAAAAATGTGTGCCTGTGACCCAATTGTTCAGCTCATCGGCCTCAGGGCTGCTTATCCACTTGACCAAGTATAATAACCCGACACGTGACAGAAACAAGGCTCAAAAAGGTACAACGGATACGCGTGTGCCGGCAGGCTTCCGCGCGAGTCGGCTCGTGGTGAAAAGCGAAGGAGGTGGGACAGCAAATTCATCGGCCAACTGGACCATCAGGGTCAATGTTTTGATTGCAGCATTTGTTCAAACAAGACCGTGGATTCGTTTCGCCTCCTCTGGATGTCATGGGCAGCCTGTGACCGTGATAAGAAACTAGCAGGAAAACCTTGATCCCCCGTGGCAGCCAACCCTGCCACATCTTCCCCTCCCCCTCGACTCACCTCCCCGTCCCCTCCCTCTCTCCCACCTCACTTCCCCCTCCCCTCTCTCCGCTCCTCCTGCTCGTTTGACCTCGACCGTCTTGAAGAAGATTCCTGTGCTCGTAGGCGACCGTTTCTCCCGGTTGCAGAAGAAGAATTTTAGTGAGGAGTCCTCCAATTATGCAACCTGCACAATTACGTGTATTCTAATTATTGTTTGTTACTTAGTCTGTTGACAAACTGGTTGTTTTGCAGCGACCACAGGCCATGAGCCGACACCCAACTCGACCGTCTGCCGGTCGTCTGCCCACCCATCGTCATCGTGGTCACCTGACCATGCCTACAAGGCTTTCTTGCCAGGTTCGAGTCAACATTTTCAATTTGCCTACGCCTTTCTGCAACGCAATTCCTTTCATCTGCCGAACACACATCCACCGCAAGGCTGGGTGCTTATTTTGCTGAATATATATAAACAGAAGGGTTTAACAACAAACAAAACCGCACAGCACCTGAATGGAAAGTCGACGAGCGTGTCCAACTTGTCGCGTAGGTATCGGCTGTAGGAGAACCTCTTGAGATGCACCACGAGGATGTGTGGCAGCGACCACAGGTCGAACTTCTTGGTGGCCTGCTGGTGCCGCTTGCAGGAGGGGCAGTACCTGGGCACAGGGGCAACCGCAGCGTCCCCCATCAGCTCGCGAGCAGCAACGAGCAGCACGGGTCTCTTCATGGCCCCGTTACACTCTCTGTTTGCTACTTTCGTTCAGGGACGCTGCCGTGGTCTTTATAATCATCATTACCACGATGGAGTTGCAATCCAGGGCGCGCCTATTTGACGGGTGCCGCGGTGGCGAGAGGTTAATTACCTCCCCTGGTATGCAGGAGGTCGTGGGTTCGATCCCGACCCTGACGCCTGCTGCTGTATATTTGGAGTTTGTGTCTCTCTCCCTGTGGTCACGTGGATTTGTCTCCGGGTCCTCCGCTTTTTCCCTCCACATTTATAAACACTAGGCATTTAGAGTATTTGGCTGCTATACATTTCCACATAAGCCACTTCGTTGAGCTATCATTTGTGGCCAGGTCGCTTCTGAAAAAAAGAGTTATACAGCTCAGTGGGCTTTACCTGGTAAAATAAAAAAATTTTAGTTCATATTTTCCCTCCTGGCACGGCAGTTCAACAATGAGGCAGTTTTCTTAATTTCCCCCGCCTCTTTACATGAAAGCCGTATGTATAAATGGGTACAAGACAGATATTCGATCGGCAGGCCGCGTGCGGTGGGATACAGTGTGGGTACTCTCAGTCCTCCCAAGATGTCGGTGTGGAAGAACAGTCGGCCGAATATCCTAGAGAGCTCCCTTTTAGGGGTGGCTCTTCTGCCGGTCACAGCACGAGCAAGCACTTGCAGGGCTGCCCCTTCACCGTTCACTTCCATTTCGCAGCACTTCAGAATGCGAACTGATCACAGGATGACAAGCTGTGAGGTCATGTGACCTCACAGCTCGTCAGCCGTTTTAATTGTCCTTTGGTGTTACTCGGCCGAATGGCCCTGCGGCACAGCGTCTTGACTCACAACTGGATCGTTACGAGACCGCATGCTGATCTGGCGAGGATAAAATGAGTGCCACTTTGAAGGAAGTCAAGAGTGGTTGCCCTGTGGAGGCATTTACACCACTAAATTAACGCAGCCCAGTTGATCCACCACGTCTGGTGACACCACACATGATCAGGAGCTCACATCGGAGATGGTTTTCTAAAATTAAGAGTTCAATGGTAATGGATCATTTGAAAAGCAATGACGAATATTACATGGTAAAATGGCATCACGTGAATTTAAGGTGTCTTTTGTCAAATGTAATTCCTGGAATTATGGAAACTACATGTCCCGGTCTTCCAAAGAATAACCATTGTTACGCAAATTACTGCTTGGTTTTATCAAACCCAGGGGTATGATGGGCTGGGTGGACCCATCGACGGGATTTGGACCCACGGTGAGATGAACGCACTGCCAGCATGACACCCGGGGGGGGGGGGTTAGGGTGTCGTCTGTGATGGCTCCACCCCAGTCGACCTGTGGAACAGAGCTGCACATCCCATCGGGTTCTTCCAGCTTAAATAAAACATCTTGCGCCTATAATAATACTTTACATTCATAAGATGCAATTCATCTAGGGATCTCAGTGCGCCATGCACAAAGTTAGGAAGTATAAATACTTCAAAGTGCAGAGTAGTCCACTGATTATAACATGGGAAGTGTAGGCCTGCAGGCAAAACAGGTAAGTCTTTACAGTAGACCTAAAAACGGCGAGTGACCCGCCTGTCCAGCCACTGCAACGGCTCGGTCACACCCCAGGTGCAGAGTCGAGTTCTCGGCACGTGGAGCAGATGCAAATCAGCGGATCGGAGAGGCCGTGATGGTACGGGCAGGTGTATCGGTTGTTGAATGTAAAATGGTGCGAGGCCGTTCAAGGCCTTGTAAGTTAGCGGAAATACTTTAAATTGTACTCTAAATTGGAAGCCAATGGCAGAGGTTTTATTCTGGGGGCGGTAATGTGCTCACGGGATGAGGCTCACGTGAGCATCCTGGCGGCCACGTGCTGGACCAGCTGTAGTCAGCACAAGACCTTAGTCGGAACCCCGAGCAGCAACACAGCGTTGCAATGGTCCACGCGAGAGTAGACCAGGGCGGACACTCGCCATTCCAGGTCAGTAGGTGATGGAATGTTACACGCGCAAGGAAACGTTTGCCTTTGGCGATTATTCACTCAACACGTCTGCCCAAAGCCCCCGCCACGTATTTACGTTCCCCGACAGGGCGTCCTCATCCAAACCGAGAGGATGCGGACTTCGTGCCACGGGTAATCCCGCCGCACTGGCATCCACCGAGCTTTCACGAACCGTGCCGTGGCACGGCACGTCCCCCGGCGCGAGGGGTGCGGGAGCCTCACCACGGGTCCTCCACGCCGAGCCGCTCCTTGGTGGTGAACAGCTCGATGCAGTCGCGCAGGCGCACCGAGTGCTTCCTCGTCGGCTGGGACTGCATGCTCTCGTGGCGCTCAAAGTCCTGAACGGCAGACACGTGCCACGGCACGGGGGGTCAAACGACGAGCGCCCGTGGATAGCCACTGCGGTTAACGGGCTCCGCGCTGATCCGTTACAGCTCAACGAACAAACCTTGTCCTGCAGAGACTGATCGACCACATTCGTAAGTACGTATGCACCGTACGTAGCCAACCGCGCTAATTGGAAGTGCGGGGGAAAGACAACAAACTAAACACTAAAATATGTTCTATAGAGATGAGTTTTCAATCTAGATTTAAAAGTGCATAGCTCCAGTGGAAGTACTAGCATTTCAGACAACCATAAAAGCGCAAGCGGTGACCGTCTTTGTTTTACGGCCAGCCAAAAGCCGCTGCGAGGATGACCGGAGTTTGCGTGATGCTTTATGCTCCTTGACGCGTTCAGCACGGTATTGTATTCGTCAGATACATACTGTAAATAACTTGGTCGCTCGTGAGTAGAGGATACTGATTAGCAACGATTTTGAGATGGCACTGTCAGGTTTATTCGGACACACTTGCCACCTCACTGGTGTTCCATCAGCATTCTTGGGGGTAAGAAATAGTGCCGGGGCTTGATTATCGGACGATGGTAAATGGGCAGGTGAGATGTGAACACAATTAAGGCAACGAATCAGTTACATGTTCATCCTTCCTTTGGGAAAAAATGTTTACCTATACTTAAACGGCACTTAACAATTAACGTTAGCTTTTCTGGTAAACGTATTTAGTGTGCCAAATTCAAGATGTCATCATGGCCAAGACTGCGGATGCCACTATCACCGCCGACACCCCGCAGCTGCTGCGAGAGATGCGCAGCGACCTGCAGGGTCTCACGGTCTCCCAGCGTCCGCTCTGAGGTCCCCCCCCCCTGGGTGCCGGACTCGCGGAGACCGCTCCAGTGCCCGTCTCGGCAATCGGCCCTCCTCTCTGACCCTGCACGTACGTCCCATCCAATGCTACCTACAGCACTCACCTGGCCGTGTCCTCGTCCGGACGTCCGCATTACTTATCCTGTCTTGCAACGGAAACATTGTCCATTGTTACATTTCTACCGGTCCGTATTCTCCACATTAAAGCCACGCACTAATAGGGTAATTACCTCGGCAGCTTTTTCGTCGTAGTAGCGTCTCTTGAGCTCAGGATCCCAGTCTAACGCAATGTACGGCTGATCTAGGAAGAGTGAAAAACAACATCAGACCGGGGCATGAACCATTTGTGCTTGTGAAAAACACCACTCGCTCGCTCGCTCACGGAGAGTGCCAATCACCAAGGTGCACCTTAGCATACAGGTCGGTGTCTTCACACATGTGCAATGACATGAAGCACATTAAGGCCACCTCTCTTGCACATTAATGCAATAGAGATGGTGAGAGGGACGCCGTGGTGGCGAGATGTTAACTACCTCGCTTGGTATACAGGAGGTCGTGGGATCGACCCCGATGCCGACACCTGTTGTATATTTGGAGATTGCATGTTCTCCACGTGGTCGTGTGGATTGTTCTCCGGGTCCTCTGGATTTTCCCTCCACATTTCAGAAACATACGTTTAGAGTATTTGGCTGATATAAATGTCCACATGATAAGCCACTTCGTTGGGCTATCATTTGTGGTCAGGTTGCTTCTGAAAAGCCACATAGTTCAATGGGCTTCACCTGGTAAAATAAAAAAAAATTGTTTAGTTTAAATAACCTACCTGAACAAGAACATCTCTGGAATCGAGATGCAATGAAAAGACTGCTCTAATTGCCCATGCGATGAATGAATTGCCCTGTTCTGCAGCCATATGGAAATATTACGTAGCCAACCGCGCAACTCTCCATGACATTCCTAATTATACTCCCAGTGACGTAAGTGCAACCAGAACACAAATTAAGTGAGATGGCATTTTTGTGCAATTATTTGCGAATGGAAACCATTTCACGGAAATGTTTGAGAACCTGTAAGGGACGGAACCCAGACTCGAAACCTGTGGAAGTGCATTTGTCCGATGTGGACCTTTGCAGTGTTTCAAGAAGTTTACGTGTCAGCACGAATGTACTGCTATAAAATGGCAAAAAAAAGCGAGATTCTTGTCACGCGATTGTACCTATGGGCATGAGGACACGATGGTAAAAACTACTAATCAGCATGTGGCAAGAAGTGACTTTCTCTGCCGAGTAACACGGAGGGGCACATGCAGCTGACTTGCCAAAGGGATGCATAGGCAGCAAAAATGCAACTTGATGAGTCGGATCGCTTTGTCCGCCAACACCATCATCATCATCAGCATCGGTTTATTTGTACAGCGCTTTCAACAGCAATATCCGTCACAAAGTCATTTCAGACCAATCATCTAAACAGCTGATTAAAACAATTTTCAGAAGTTGTCCGATCACGGATATGCCCCGAGATCTTCAGCAACCAATCACAAGTCTAGCCCTTAATAATTTTAATGATTCCAAATGTATAACCCTGAATGAAATCAGTGCTTTCATGGGAAAATGCGACGTGGGAGCTCAAAGCGGCACCCTGCACGGCAGGGAACACCGTTCTCTCCTCGACGTGCGGATGACTTCCAGTTCAATGACTACGTACGAGTTTTGCGCATGTACTGTATGGCTCTCCGATGCGTTCGCTGGTGGTGCCGCGTGTTGACATCATGAAGTCCATGGACATCATGATAGACACAGTGATGACATCATATTGTCCATGTACATCATGGTAGACACAGTGATGACATCATGTTGTCTATGGACACCATGATAGACACAGTGATGACATCATGTTGTCCATGGACATCATGATAGACACAGTGATGACATCATATTGTCCATGTACATCATGGTAGACAGAGTGATGACATCATGAAGTCCATGGACATCATGATAGACACAGTGATGACATGTTGTCTATGGACATCATGATAGACAGTGATGACATCATGTTGTCCATGTACACCATGATAGACACAGTGATGACATCATATTGTCCATGTACATCATGGTAGACACAGTGATGACATCATGAAGTCCATGGACATCATGATAGACACAGTGATGACATGTTGTCTATGGACACCATGATAGACACAGTGATGACATCATGTCGTCTATGGACACCATGATAGACACAGTGATGACATCATACTGTCCGATCGCTGCACTGGGAAGAGAGGCCAGACTGCCCATTGGGATAAACGAGAACCTCCCCCCCCCCCCCCCTGGACACGAGCCTCACGGCCCCCGCCACTCACTGACGAGCTTGATGGGCCGCCCGTCGTCCAGGATGGTGTTGACCTCGCTGTTGCCGTAGGCGTTGACGACGTGGAAGGTGAAGAGGGGCCGCCGGCGTGGCGAGCGGAACGCCTGCTGCTGCTGCTGCTTCGCCGCCACGTTGTCGTTGGCCGGCGCTGTGCGGCAGCGCTCTGACTCCTCCTCGTTGTCGGCCGACTCGTCCGATTGGCTGTCCTCGTTCTCCGAGGGCAGCTCGCGGTCCATGCTCGACTCCTCCTCCTCCATGTCCACCTCTCCTGTGCAGCGCCCCCACCCCGACAAAGATCCCCCCCCGGATAGCCTTAGCAGACTGTTGGGGCAAGTGCTGTTAGCCAGTGCTATGAAGGCCGCCACGGCACACGACGGGGTGGGTGGCCAACACCACGCCCCGACCGCCTTTGTCTCCTCCCCAGTGGCGATGTTTACACACTGCACCGGGTACTCATTTGAGGCCGAGTCGACCTAGGGGAGGCCCAAGATCCGTTCAGATAATCGTCACTGGTGTTGGCCGTGAGCGGAAATCGAACTCGGGTCGCTGGGTTCGTAGCGCAGCGCGCTAACCGCTGCCTGACCACTCCCCCCCCCAACACACACAAATACACACACAGACAGACACACACATACACACATACACACACACACGCCGCTTGTTCCTATTGTGATTGTGCTCCACTGCAGACTGTGGTCGTAACGGTGTGAACGGGGCGTTACATCCGGCATCATATGTTTAAAGTAATCCTAAAACACACTTTACAATTTAGTTAAAGACCGGGCATTACTATCGCAAAAAGGCTTACATTTTGGCCAGAAAAAAAACAGGTAACAACCACATCTAAAAATACTCAATGCGGGAAAAAAATGACAACTCTCAAATGTGAACACCTTCAAACATAGTCTATACGAGAGGTTTTGGAAAACCTGAAACGGAAGAAAAAAAGCAATGAAATTCTCACTCAAGCCAGACTCTTGTGACGAACTCCGTGCAATTTTGGAAATAGGCAACCGAATGCATCGCATGCCACCGACATCGGAGAAGCAGCAGCAACTGTTTGTGTAAATGGCAGCTATCAATGTTCAAAGGGAACGGCGCGGGGCTGAATAGCGTTGATATACGAACCTCGCCCACCTTTTGAGACAGCCGTTGCCAACGGTTACCTACCGTTCTGACGAGAATAGCGCATGTTGTTGGCGTTATTCTGGTCGACGTAAAGCGGCCGGTCGTAGTGATCCTCGTCATCTTCCTCGTCGTCACTGGGCCTGTTCACGTACCTCCTGCACGGACGAAACGCATTCTGCTTAATGCCTGCGTGCCCTGTAGTTGTGCGAAAAAGGCAAGCGGTGTTTTTTGTGTCAATGCGCTTTTTGTTCAGCGTCGATGCTACTCACTACACGCATACACTTGTTACGCAATCCATTTGACAACTGATCTACTGCTTTTACAAAATGTAGCATTTTTTTCAACAAATAACACATTATTTTTCTTTAAATAAATATCTAACTGTCCTGGGCCTCCCCCTAAATATACTCAATCTTAAACGTATACCTGGCGCGGTACATAATTATATCAGAGGGGAGACAAATTAAACTCGGTGCAGGAAATAATTCAACGTACATATATACATAGAAATGCGGCCAGGGGTGGCGCTAGCCCAGCACCCACTCGTGTGCCGTGCCGACTTTAATAGGCGCTCGCTAATGACACTTGTCCCCAACGGAGCTTTGTCTTTGCGTACAGAAGTAGTCTCGAGAATATGCAACAATGCGCCGGGGACCACGGCGAGAAGTGCGGGATTCGCTACTGACGCCATGTGGTCCAGCAGCATGTGGTAGAGGCGGCGGCACGTGGTGGAGTTGCGCGGCACGGAGATGAAGAGCGGCTGCCCGAAGAGCATGCCCGTGGACACGAGGTTGCAGTTGTAGCTGTTGTGGCGGATGCGCTTCTCGCGGTGGTAGACTGGCAGCACCACCTGCTCGGGGTCGTCCTGCTTGCCGCCCGCCACCTCGTACCTGTGGCCACGCACGACAGCGGCGTCACGATGGCGGAGTCAAGACGGCCTCCTGTATACCAGGCAAATCCCACTGAGCTATGTAGCTCTTTTTCAGAAGCGACCTGGCTATCACAAATGACAGCTCAACGAAGTGGCTCATCACGTGGAAATCTACAGCAGCCAAATACTCTGAACGCAAATTGATTCTAAATGTAGATGGAAAAACTGGAAGATCCAAAGAAAAACCCACACGACCCCAGACAGAACACACAAATTAGATTTAAAGTTTTCGTGACTGCAGGGATTCATATTTTTGGTTCTTTCGGTAAAGTCATGTAGAAGGGAAATAATAAAATAATAAAAATATAAAACAATAAAATTTCTCACGACGTTGACTGCAACACAAGCTATCATCATCAGGTGTGAAATCCACAGAAATAAAATTATATTTGTGTTTGTCCATTATTAAAGTGTGGCTTTTCAGCGTAGATTCTAACAAGATTGATTAACGGGCGTAAAAAATATAAAAATGTGTTCTGCTTTAACGCAGACAACATAGCCCAATGTGACATTTCCTGTTGCAATTACAGGCACAGTGCAGAGGGAAATACACTAAACAAGTCTTCTACTTTCATTATATTCCCACGCCAAGTCTCTTTTTTCAAAATCAGCCAGTAAGCTTGTGTAACAACTGCCGACTCGAGCTGTAGAGACTTCTTGTATTGCACGTAATGTAGCTTAGGACCACGTCGCCATGAGATAATGCCGACGTGGAGATCGCATGACCGCGCAGACAGCGACGACGTGAAGACAGGGACTTGGGCCCTCTCGACAGCCCCGAACTTCCCTTCTTGCCCTGCTTTTATCCTCGTGGATTCTCTGGGGGAATTTCCCCAGCCGTTAATTTTGGACACTCTGGGGAATTTCCTAACCAAGATCCTCCAAACTTGCTGGCACCTCGTCTCTGCATCCAGCCTCGCTGACACCCTGTCTTCACATCGAGACTTGCTGACAAGTCTTTACACTTGCAACAAAATGGATTTGTTCCTTTATCGTAAATTTAAATTAAATTCGTAAAACAAATGCCAGCCTGCTTTACTGTTGTAAAACTTATTTTTTTCTCACACTTTAAAGCGTCGTTTCTACTGTACGCCACTGTGGAAACGTGGAGACTTCTTGTGGCTCGTAATATTGGGTTAGATCGCACGAATATAAATGTGTCGTTAAACCACCACCACCACCACCCGACACAGCCATTGGTAAGGTTTGTCACGTCAATGAAACATGCCAATTAGTTACTAGTTCAGTTCACCAATTCCAGCAAATCGACTGATGAGGCTACTTGTAATCATCAGCGAAACGTCGTACTCAAATTGTAAATGTTGTGGGTTTACTCTCCAACACACCGGTGTGCTAAACTAGTAACTAATTGACACGTTTTGTTTACGTGACAAACCTTTCCAATTGGCCGTGTCGCCGGGCGGTGGGTTAACGACACATTATTATTTATGCGATCTAACCCCAAAAAATCCTTTATTATGAATATTTGTCGCGAAAGCCTACATGTTAAACTGACTGCTTGTGGCTGAAAAATAATGACCCCTGTGAGTGACACGGGACTGGCAGGCACGTGGTTCTCCATCGATAAAGACAGCAGAACGATCATCGTCCTCTGGGAATAAATCAAGCCAGGACATCTTAACGTCCAGTCAACGGGAGGTACCATTCGATGATCATTTATTCTAGAAATTACTGGGTGGCTACTAAATCAGATCCCGACCACAGGTACAAATTGGCTCGAAAGCTAGATTATTAAAACTAGGTAATTGTCATTTAATATAGCATTCAAGGGTGTTTTGAATGCATTCTTTTAGTACATGGTATATATTTACGTTATGCTAAAATATCTAAAACAGTAATGTATCGCCTGTATTACGGTACCCAATGTGCTAATCTAAAGGCTGGCATGAGTAATAAACCAGCCTTGTTAATAATGTTGAGATTACGGCTCAGCAGAGCCCATTAGTGTACCGTATGTGCTGCTACACCCACAATTTTGAACTATACATCGATAAGCTTCTTCCCAAAACTATACGCACTGAAAGAGAAGCAAGAGTGAGACTAACATCTGCAAGTCAATTGGATGAGTCCAACACCATCCTCTTACGAGGTGGTGCACTGCGAGCTACGAGGGGTTCCGAACGGACATTTGTCTCATGATACCGACTGATCGCACAATTGAGAGAAAAAAATGTGAAACAGGAATCTACGCGGGAATTCAACAGAGGCGCAACATCAGTGTAATGTTCACATCTTATCATTCTCAGCGCCGAGGATCCCTCCTGCACACGCTTGACAAATGACTTGGTTGAGGATGCTCACACACACGTGAACACCGGCTGTTGAAAGTCAACGGAAGCCACGAAAGGAGATGCTTACACAAATATGTCGTCTCTCTCGAGAATGTTGTTGAGCTTCTCGTCCATTTGGAAAATCTTGTGAAACCTGTGGTTGTAAACATCTGCCACGACCATCTGCGAAGAAAGATCACGTTCGCACCATCACCGGATACCTTGGCTTCACGTCAGAGGCGTACGGGACGTGAAAATCGATATTCAGCTCGCCTTACGTTATGGAACAAAGAACCATTCGAATGCAGAAGAATCTAAATTACATTCGGAGATAAAACCGTACGTATCATTAGTATTTAACCGTACCTCACTATGCTGGTCAATGTACGGTGATAGAGGAGAGGGGCGCAGAACCTGGACCATGTTACGTTACAGAACGAGCGACGGTACAACAGCCTGCGTTTCGATGAATAACACCGAATATTTTAACGCGGGTTTCGTTGGGTAAATGGGTTCCAGAGAACACGGCATTGTTAACGACACGGCAGGCGGGTCGACGGCGGCAGCAGTGACGCGAGACGCGCAGGCTCTGACCTTGTGCGCGGGGACACCGGAGAGTTTGGAGAGGGCCACGCACAGATCGGAAATCTGACCCGACTTGGGCACGGTCACTTTGTACTGTGGACACGCAACGGAGCGCACACACGGCACAACACGCCACACGTTTGATCCACAAGCGCCAAAAAACGTTCTCAAGGCACTTCGTCTTTGCGGACAGTGCGCAGACCGGGTTAAGGTGAACGAAAACAAAATGTATTGCAGTAATATACGCAGGTTTACGTCGGGGGATGCGTTCCCGAAAGGTGCGACGGACGAATATCGAAACGAGGTCAATAAAAGCGATTTAGATAGGGTAGGTGGTGCAGGCGAAGGCTGAGAGGCGACGGATAACGGGAACGGATGGGCGATGCGGTCAGCGTCGCGTTCTCGTCGGCACGACAGAGCTCACCTGCGTGGGTTTTGACCGCGGGTCCATGCATATCAGGAACACCTCCATGTTCCTCTCCTTCTTCATGGGTAGCGGAAGGGTGAGGTAGCAGAACGGGTCGAAGGTCACGGACACCTTTGAGCACTCGGGGCAAACGAGCGTGGACTTGAAGAGGCCGTGGAAAATGTCCACAATGATGGAGTTGTTCCTCTTCTGGTGGTTGTCCCAGGCTTCGCGCGCCACCACCTGCGGGAACAACTTGGAAGTATTTTAAACTATTTTTATTTTACCTGGTAATGCTCACAGCGCGATACAGCTCCTTTTCGATGTGGCCGAACATGTAGACATTTAGAGCAGTCAAATACTCTAAAATGCATGTTGATTCTAAATGTGGATAAAAAAACAGAGGACCCAGAGAAAAATACACGCAACTACGGGGAGAGACACATGCAAACTCAAAATATACAGGCGGGATGGAACCCATGACATACTGTCTGCCAGGCAAAGTAGTTAACATTTCGCCACCGTGGCACAAATGTACGAGCAGCAGCTGTGACTGCTGGCAATCCAGATAGGTGCCAACAGGAGTCTGATATTATTTTTTATTTTATTCGACTAAATACACAAGCGCAGTTGTTACTGGATAACTAAATCGATGTGTCTACATGGCAAATACGGTATGTTTTAAATATTTTTTTTACTCTTGTTTTCTAAAAAAAAATCAAGTTTAGCATGACACGGAAAAATCGATCAACATCACATGAGCCAAATGAATCAGAGATTGAGCACTGGATGAGTCAACACAACTCCATGTGGCAAAGCTGGGGCTCGATAAATCATTTTTCCTGTAACCCATATTCCATTACAGAAATCCACGTCAGCTAGTTTTTGAATACAACTAATAAACATATATATATATATACACACACGTTCCTTCGATTAGATTTTTTTAATGTACGTGGGAAGATAATGGTTAACGATGAAGATAAGTTCAATGGGTTTACGGTTTCCAAACGACAACACAACAGAGAGGCAGCAGCCAGGGGACACGCACGTGCCACATTCCCACTACCACTGGGAAGCGGGAGCTGGGCCACTGCTCGAACAGGGCCCGGCTTCTCGGCACGGACAGGAGAGAAATGCACATCGAACTTGCTGGGCACAAAGGTAGAGGAAGATATGGTTAACGCCACGCACAAATACTGCACTGGGTATGGATGGTTAATCGGCCAACACGAATATGTGACTGTCGGATATGCGACATAGTACTGAATTCCCTCGTCAGCCCTACCAGGGCCGGTCAGCCACCAGTTGGGATCGGTAGCCAGACACGGCAGCTCGACCTCACCAGGGCGTTTCATGCTCCTCACCCGATTCAAACTCAGAACTGCCACCAAACGGAACTGGGCCGAGCCCGATCCCCAGAGGTCATGGAGATACAGCTCGGATCCCCCTTCTCCAGAGGCACATCTGATCCGAGCCATCGCAGGCCACTCAAGACACAGTTGGTTTTTCCACCACAAATTTGCCGTGCCGAGCCAGAACCAAGTATTGAAACGCAACCCTCGCGGCGCTACGGGCAGAGCTAACGACGCAGTCGGGACACTGCCAGGGGACATGACGTCACCGCGCCATCCACACGACGCGTCTCGACACGTCCATCGCTTGACGACGTTAGCGGCGCCATGGCTCGGCTTCTGCAGCGACGAAGGAACTTGGTGCATCCCGAGCCAGCGCCGGGCAGGCACAGCACGACCCCGGCACGGTTCGAGTTGTGCGGTGGGTGAGAAAAAGAGTAAGGGCACCTCGTCGGGCCTCCCCTCCGCGTCCTTGAGCTCCACGTAGGGCTTGTTGAGGATGCGGTTGAGGTCCTCGTGCAGGCCGTCCAGCAGGAAGGCGAGCAGCTCCTGCGAGTCCTGCTGCTGGTAGCCGGAGAACTGCGGCGCAAACCTCCCCACCTGCGTCTGCAATGGCCACAACGGAGGCACGCAACCGGCAATGGGGGGGGGGCTGACCCGATGTCCACACACCGTGGTCTCGCGTGATCCACTTGTGCACTCACAATGGCGTTAGGGGGCTATTTTGACAATTTGGGCTTTAATTAGAAACTCTTTGCATTGCAAGGCCAAATGCAGCTCTTGCACCTCCGATTAGCACGGTTGGCTACGTACGGTGCGAAAGAAGTTCAACATAACAACATATCTATGGGACCTTTGTGCCAGCATCTAAAAATATGAAAAAAAACAGGTGTTAAGATGTTCAAACACCAAATAGACACCTTTTACAAGGAATCAAGTTCGCATTAACCACACATACGTGTGGTGAACATGCAAAAAAATATGCTCTGATAATAATCTATTCATATTTTTTAATACCTTGATATTTGCTAAATTGCCCATTTTGTACACACAGCTGCTGCTGGTGGAAGAACAAAGAAGGGCAAAAAAACTATTGATTCTCAAATGGAATGCTGACCCTGAATCGTGGGGATTTGTTGGACAAAGGGGGTGTCGAACCGTCACGTATCTATTGTTCACAGCACAAATGTCCACTCTTGTCGGCAAACATCTCGCCGAAGCAGCGGCTTTGAGCAGTGTTTTCACTGGGCAATGTTGCACGGACACTGCGAACGTGTGGGAGAGGGGGGGGGAGGGGCAACGCTCCGGGTCACCCCCGCGCGCGAGCCCACGCTCACCTTGAAGGCGCGCGGGGTGACGTAGCTGTAGCGGCCGGACCAGATCTGCTTGGTGAGGTCGGCGTACGCCTTGGCGATCTCCCCCTTCATGCCCAGCGGGTTCTCGTTGTTCAGCTCGCTCACGTACTTGTTGTTGACGAAGTACTCGGTCAGCGGCGGGGTGTTGCTTAGGCACTGTGGGGCGGCAGTGGTGACGCGTCACATGATGCATAACAATGTATCGCTCGCCCCCCTCCCCACCCGCATGCACATTCAATTCATGCGACCTCTTTCTCAGCATCTAAATAATGAATAAAAGATAAGAATAGGCTTTACGCTTTCTGGAAATATTAATACTTTGATAATACAGGGTTTTGTTGGGTTATAGCGCGTAAATATATCGATGTGTCGTTAACTCGCCATCACCTGACACAGCCAATTAGTAACGTTTGTCACGTAAACAGAATGTGGCCAATTCGTTACTAGTACAGCACACCGGTTGTGTGTTGGATAGCTAAGCCACAACATTCACTTCTTACAAGTGGCACTCATGCTCTTGACCAGTAAGAGATGACAGGGCAACTCCTGATCGGGATTTCAATAAATAACATTGCAATCAAGAGTCAAGCAAAGCTACTACTACGATGCTACCCTGTTGGTTTTCCAAGAAAGTAAAGTATTTAAAAATAACTAGTACAGTTATTTTCGCGATATTTTTTGGCATTTATTGGCCATTACATTTATAATTGTACAAAGTGGCCACAATGTTTTGGGGACTAAAAGCATGGAATTTCCACGTTCCTATGGCAGGGATGATTAAGCACCCACGTCAATTTTGAAAATATTTCTGCAAAAAAACCATTTCAACCATTCACACATTATAATGATATTGTACCATGCCTGCCGGAATAACATTATGACAAAATACTGCCAACACTAATAAAACTTTCCAAGGTAGTGTTTTGCATTCTTTGGTTTTAACAAAAAAAAATAATGGAAATGTCCTTACAAACATTTCCCAGATTCATGTTGTTTCAAAATAACTGTAAAAATTGGAGGGAGAAATTTTCCAATTAACAAACGTAGACTTATTTTCAGAGATGATTTGCAAAAAAATTCATTTTTACAATAAATTGTGACTAATATTATATCCCAATAAACAAGCATATGACTAATGGCATGTGTGCAGCATGGTGAATGTGGTTCTGGTTGTAGAGAAACAGCAATTAAATTGCATGGCTGCAATGGATGCTACAACATCAACTTGTTCGTCATATATTTTAAGAACACAGTATTAATTATATACTAACTTAACAAAAGCTGAATACCTGCATTGGTGAAAATTACTTTCACCAGGCTTATCTCAAACTCTCCATTATAAGGTAAAATACAGTGAAAATGCATACCTGTCAACCTATACGGTTTACCCATATTTTTGTACAGGGAAATTGAGTTTTCAGGTCCATACGGCGTACAACCGTTTCAATACGGGCAAATCATTTCTATTTGTGTGCTTCTACCTTGTGATGGGACTTTGTAGGATGAACGTTGAGATTTATAAGGGCACGGGGTGACCAATGAGGTCTGAATTGGTCTGTGATAAGGTAAGGCACTGATAAGGAGTTGACAGGCATGAACATGTAATAACTGAGAATATTAAGTCCACCCAAGGAAACTGTAAATTATAAATATCTCAATATATGCATTGATATACAGTGATAATGTTTGACCCTGATCAATGCACTGATGGATGAAGGCATCCCCAGTGCTGGAGAGCATGGGATAGTTTTAATTTCAAGTGAAACTTGTTCAACCAAAAATAACTCAAGAGCCAAGAGTAAATAGTGTCATCGCAAACTGTTTCAGACATCACTCACGATTAATGTTGGCTGTGGCAGGGAATCAAACTAGGAATATGTGGTTTAAATGTGTCTATATAACTAAGACAACAACAACTACTAAGATAAGCATGCTGAAGGGCCATTTCATAAATGTACACATCGCAATTATATCAGAATCTGAATATTTATTTATACTCGAGGAATCTGATGAGCTACACAGCTCTTTTCCACAGATGTCCAGTAGGGGCAGTACAGTTGGCCTTACAATGTAAAGATTTTCGAATAAAAGCCTAAACTGAGATCATGAAAGCCTACGTGTTCAACGAATTAAAATTGTCTATCCTCTCAAATAATTGTGACAATCTAAAAAAAATGCAGATGGGATACGTACACAATAACATTGTGTCAATTACAACTAAATAATTACAACTAAATAATTACAACTACCCGCACCTCTGATTAGCATGGTTGGCTATGTATGGTGCGAAAGAAGTTAAACATACGTCCATACTGTATGATCCAAAAATATATACAGGATCCAAAAATATATACATGATCGTTCAAAGAAACTTTCATTCCCACAAATAACACAGTCTGATAAAAACAAAAAAAATATCCTGCAAATGCACTTTTCCACCACCTATAGCCCTGTAATTTCAATACGAGGCATGACAGAAAAGCATTTCCCATTATCTACTCCCATAGGAGACCACGCGATGGAACAGCCAGGAAACATTATTATTTCTTCCACAATATGTTTGAAGGCTCCATCACAATTACTCAAGTTAACCTCAACCCTCCTTTCCATGGTGTGGATGAGTGGCCGGTGAACTTTCCACCAGTGCCTGGCTGTAATGGAGTGGTTGATAACTGGGCTGAGACCATCACACGATGTACACAGTACCACCCTTGAGAGGTTCATGTGGCGCAAAGCCAGAATAAAAGTGGTGCTTGGCTCAGTATTCCAACGTGCTTTAAGCCCTTGTCATCCACGAGCCACCTTCAGCACACAAAACCTTCAAACCTCATGTCACGTTCACCTTCCCCGTTGTAACAATGCCAGTCGCGCAAGTGCAAAGAAAAATACATTATCGAGTGAAACGGCACCTATTGATGCGAATATCAACGACATTTGAGACCGAAGTGAAGAGGAAAAATCTGTGCGTACGCTCACCATGCGTGCATTGATACATGCGTGGCAAGATTCCATAATTTACGATCCATAGGAATATTTATTAAAGCGTCACATTATAGTAAATGGAGCAAACGGTTGCAAATTTTTTTTACAATATCGCGCAAGGAGCGGAGGGGGGTAAAACCACCGCACTTGATTGCCTACAGTTAGATACAAGTGTAGCCGTTTTGATCAAATTCACTGCTGGATGGCGGCGTTCCCACACCTTGCAGGTCAGCAGGGGTTGGCGAGGGCAGGGATCATAGACCAGGGGGTTTAGTACAGTACATCGACGAATTTTGCTACATCGCCCCCTGCGTTGCCCACAACGTAACCCAAAAGCAGCAGCAGCAGTGGCGGCAGCCTCTAATAGAGAACTCGCCCTAAGCACGGTGGTCGTCCATCCTCTCACTCGAGTGCTGAGTATTCATCTATTCACCACGGCCATGTCGTGTCGCGCACGGTGCACACCGGCAACAACAACTCCCGCCGTTCGCCACCAAGCGGCGATGATTTTGCTGCTATACATTTCTACATGATGAAGCACTTTGTTGAGCTGCCATTTGTGGCTGGGTCGCTTCTGCAAAAGAAGCTAATATCTCAGTGGGCTTTACCTGGCAAGATAAAAAACTAAATGGTTTATTTGTATTTATTTTTAGGTGATTTGCTTACCTTTTCGATGCACTCCGATTGTGTTTTTTGTATTTTTGTTGTTGTAACGTTCTGACCCACCCCCCTACTGGATACCTGTGTAAAAGAGCTTCATAGCTCATCGGATTCCTCCAATATAAATATTCTGATTCTGACTATGGTGCTTGTGCCAGGCTAGGTGCGCCGCGATGCCACGCAAAGCACCGAAAGGCTCCCGGGCAGGTCACGTGGCAGTCCCAAGTGTTATGGGTTGACTAGTTGAGATGGGCCGGCACATAGGAGGCCACAAGGGTGCGCGTGCACACCTGTATGGCGGAGTTCATGAAGCACGTGTTGCCCAAGTTGCTGAGTCCGCAGAGTCCGGGCTGTGAGGTTCCGCGGCCGGGCTCCCTGTAGTCGTAGGAGCTGTAGCCGTAGCTGTTGTAGCCGCTGCTGGAGCTGAGGCACAACGAAACGCACACAACCCGGGCACTTGACGCCTCGCCAGCCACGCAAGGCTCCCCGTGAAGTAAGTGTTTTGAATCATGCGGTTTAAGCAAAATAAAATAATTCATCAGAGTTTTGTTTTTTAAACCATTACATGGAGAAGGCATCATTTACTTCTAAATGTGCATGGGAAGCAATATGTATTGAATAACACACCAATACGAACATTGGTGTGGGAATGAGGAGAAAATGTACAAATCCAAAATGAGAATTATCCATGTAGCCCATTATTCAGATAATAAAATAAATAAAAAGTGTCCTTTATTAATGTTCGATCTAGTCTTACTTATCTTAGTCATGTGACTATGTCAATGTACATTTAACATTGTACAATGAAAATGTTTGGTTCATCACTCAAAAACTCCCACTTCTTCAAACCTTGCGCCATTTGAAAAGACGGGAAAATTACCTCAAAGTTTAAATTAACCTCCGTTCCCTTATTGTTTTGAGTCAAAGAAATGTACACAAAGTTAAAACGTTTCAGAACATGTCTTGACTACCTTCATGAATGACTTGCATTCAAGCCTAACCCAATATCCCATTCTCACGCTACTAGGAGACCATCTCACGCCACTCGTCAACTATACTGAACTATTTTTATTTTACCAGGTAAGGCCCACTAAGCTATACAGCTCTTTTTCAAAAGCAACCTAGCCACAAATGATAGCTAAACCCAGTGGGCTTATCATCTGGAAACTCTTCGCAGCCAAATACTCTAAATGAGTCTAAATGTGGATGGAAAACCCGGAGGACCCAGAGAAAAATCCACGCGACCACGCGGAGAAAGACAAATATACAGACGTCGGAAACGAACCCAGGACCTCCTCCTGTGTACCAAGCGAGGTAGTTGAAATCTTGCCACCGTGGCGGCCATGACGGCAGAATGTTAACATTGATTGCATTTCAACAGCACGAGGTGTATCGGCATCGAGACACCCGTGAGTTCAGAGCTGCTTTGTATGCACAAGAGAGCTACAATCGGCCCATCCATTCATCCAATGGCCTCGGAAAATATAGAATGCAAATGAAGTCACACTGTACATGCTGAGTTTCAATTTCAGCTCAAGGCCGAGCATCCTATCAATAAATGTCTCAACCAGCGTCATCAAAACCAACTTGCGTGGATATTCATACAATTTTTTGCGTGTATATATAAATGGTCTTACTTTCGAATTTAATCCATGAAATACCTCAATAAAACAATGTCCCCTTGGGCACGTGAATGCCGATTGATATGCATTACCGTATTAACATTTTGACAGCTTATGAATATGTAGAGTGGAAACACGGCCAAACTCACAACATATACTGTTTTGTACATTTGCTCTTAATACAATCAGGAGGAAAATGTATGTGAATAACAAAAAGAGGGTCCGATTTTTTTTGGCAATTTCTTTACAGATTTTCTTAATTGGAATGTGGTAACCAGTTCACAATGACCTACCACTTCAAAATAATTGGTTTAAATGTCAACTTTAACACAAAAGCATAGTACGATGAATTATCCTTAAGAGGCCACAGTTAGATGACAATGCCCTAGAAAAACCGTAATCTACATTTGCGGAAACTGCCTTGGTCACGAGCATGCTAAACACATGCAATCCCCTAATGCAAGGGACATTTTACAAAGGGTCATCCCACTACCGACGGGGCACTGCTGAATCACAAGGGTGATGGGGTTACACGGAACTAATCATATTGACCTCCAAGTCACAGTGCTCAGCCTAATGATGAAGACATCGATGTGTGTTTAGAAGTATTTGGCTGCTATAGATTCCCAAGTGATAATCCAGTTCTGAACAAGAGCTATACAGCTCTGTGGGCCTTACCCGGTCAAAAATAAAAAAAATTGTTCAGTTGAATAGTTCAGTAAAGCGCTTAGATCAGGCACTATGGGTAAACTTCCAGTGGTTATTCAATAGGCCTCAAGCTGAAAACCAGGCACATCTGATTACTGCGTGCAACACCTGCTCATTTAACACGTTCTCAGAGACTAGTTTGTTGTGTTAAGAAAGTGGCCGCAAGGGGGACCTTTTGTACGCTCCACGTACAAATGCTGCAAATTAAGAGTTGATCATTTTTTGGGAAGGTAAAGTTGTTCTAAGCCACGTATGTCATAAGACTGTCAAGCAGGCCAGGCGTATTTGTGCCCATGTGCAGACGTTGCAGTCTTATCTCAGTGTGCATGGTTGTTCTGAGGCGACTCGTATTCCCCACATGGAGAACACTCATTGACCAAGAATTGGACAAAAGAATGGCAATGAAGGAGCATCCTGAATAAGTCTTGGTAATCTCTGCGAGGCTCTTCTAGACAGATAATCGTGTATGATCTCACTTTGAACATTAACGGTTGACAAGTCAATGTAATAACTTTTTGTCAAGTACAATTCTTGTAGGATGTATTTTAATGTTAACTTTGAAGCTGTAAATATAGGAGCCTGCACAGCAAGATCAGAACCTCCGAATAGCACGGTTGGCTACGTACAGTGCAAAAGAAGTTCATCATACACACATTACTATACAACAGGGCCGAGAGGAAACAGCTGAGGCTGACAACTACCCATGCATTAATGACGTCTTGAATTGGGAAGATGACGTATCCACAAATAAACAAATGAAGGGAGAATTAACTCCTGACAAGTCAGATTATTGACACCAAAAACAGAAAAAAAGATCAATCTTTAAAAACATGTACACAATTGTTTACATTGGCAGATGCCATTCATATGTTTAGTTTTTTTTTACCCAGGAAAGCCTCAACTATTTTTCAGTAGGGTCCTGTCGCATTTTCCATTTGGGGGGGGAGAGTGATGATGCCGTGTGATGTCCTAATGAGTAATTAGCAGGAAGTTTTTTGTCATTGGGATGCTTGACCAATTCCAGTTACGTTGTCCGTGATATATTCGCTACGAGTGGAGACCGCAGCACCCAGAGAAACCCCATACAGACACACAAGCTCCACACAGATGGGTGCCAGAGTCAGGAATCGAACCCAGGCCCTCTTAATGTGAGGCACAAGTGTTACTACTGCGCCACCCTGCCACGCATAATTGGGTACATTCGCATAGCTCAGATTACATTCCCTTGACAGACTGTCATGCGAAAATGATACACTTATTTTCTGCTGTAAACACACTCACTTAGCTGTTTACTTGGCTGCGCAATTCATCTTGTTTTACCAGGTGGCAGGGAAATGACAGGAGGTTACAGGCTCACTGATTGAGAAAGGCATCCACTGCCACGTAATATTTAAGTCTTATGGTAGACAAACAAAAATGCCATTCACAATGTCAGCCTCGCCATCAAAGCATGGAATGGCTGCTCATGTGATTTTGTTTACTTTACTTAGAATTTTCCCACAATCCGTGCATTTGCAACCTGTTTTAGGTTCACTCTACATCACAAACATTATTATAATGGGGGACGATTACAAAATGTTGATATTACCAGCCTTTTCCTGACACACTTCAAGAGCCCATCATACTTCAAGCACTGTGCTATTCTACTGAGCCAGGCCAACAAATGTGAAGCTGTGTTGATCGCTCACAGACCAAGTTACGCATTTAAAACTGCCCGTGATGGGACTTTCCTGTGGAGTCATTGGTGAGAAAAGGGTGATATCAAAACCTGTTCCACTTGATAACAAGTTCCTACCCTGGGTTAAGGCTCAAGTCCAGGAAGTACGCACCGCTAAGTCTGTACCGAGACAAAGGAATTGCAGAGCATTAGCCCCTCGAGTCACTCGGCCACCTCGAAGGTCAGAGAACCCACGTTCTGCTGGGCACTGACAAGAAGCAGGAGGTGTGGCGATGATGCACCAATGGGCAAAGCAGCGGTGTGGGGCATGAAAACAAACGGCGCAGACTTACGTTCGGCCGTAGCCAGAAGAATAGGTGCTGGAGCCAATGGCAAGAGAGGAGGAAGCAGAAGAGAGGCCTGGGGAGGTGGGGAAGCTGCCACTTGTGCCGCTGCTGGCTCTGCCAAAGGCAACGCGACACCAGCACAAGGGAACAGAGACAGGAGCTGCCCTCAGGGCCCAGGCCTCGATGAGCAGAGAAGGCCTTACAGTGTTGCCGCGATATGGTGATGCTATGATATATATCGTACGATATCAGATCCACGATAATCGTACCATCGGCTTTGCAAGGTGTCGTCATATCGTGATCGTTTTTGAATGACACACTCAAAAAACTATTTACTGAATAAAATCTATTCTATGTAAATGAGTGTTGTGAGTAATCATTTCTGGAGTAAATGACAGCCCGGCGGTAATAGGACATCACAACTTTGGTATATCTTCAATTACTTAGGTCTCGTGGAACCGATAGCTTGGGCATTTATGTTATAGATTGTAAAGTTGGATTTATTGGAAGACTTATGGCAGGCTAATGCAGTTGAAAAACTGTTATTTAATCATGATGTGTACTGGAAGTACAGCACAGGACAAAAACCATGCAATCAAAATGTAAAACACAATTACAGTGGTATGGGAAACTGACGTCACGATAAGACATGTCGTGAAAAATGTTATCGCGGCAATCCTACACCGAATAAAGAGGCGTAGCTATGTTTACTATGACAGCGTCACAAGCATGACCACCCACAACATGTACCCTTACCGTGTGACGGTAGTGCTATGGATGCAGAGGTGCACAACGTATAATCCGTGGATCGGATCAATTAGGGAAGGAAAGTGCATTTACTAAGTTCAATAATCATGAAATGTGGCACCGAAGTTGCAATGTACGGGCATACTGTAAACATTACTTCACAGACTGATACAACTGAAGAACAATCACCCGCCTGGTCAAAGAGACTGTGCACACCTGCATTGAGGAAACACCAAATGTGTTTCCCAAAAGTAATGTTGCTATACATTTGGGCCACATTAACATTTCGATGAAATGGGCAAAAACACACCACGTGGGCAATTTTCCCGATTGTTGATGACGAAGACATTGGAATGCTCTTTTTGAACAGACAAGAAGAACACCTGCCAATGCATCAATGAGTTCCAGACAGTACAAATAACAGATCTATTACCTGCCGTCAACACGGCATCATGAAGACTTGAGAATGTGAAAACTTCAGATTCGTTACAGAAATTTTTTAAAATGCATTTAATCTCTGGAGCATATCTTATTCATTTATATATTTATTAGACATTAAGTGAAATTAAAAATATTGCAATGAAAATAGTATTACTGGAGCATAACATATCCTATTGCACATACATTTTCCTAAAGCTCTATCAAGGAACACTGAAAATTTCTTGTGGAATAACCAAATGTAGAGTTTACAATTATCGTACCTGTCCTGAGCACACCAAAAAAAGTGTGCCTACGAGTAGCAGAGGCTTAGCAAAAATATCCACAATATTAAACGCAACCCATCACAGGCCAAATGTCAGAAAACTGTAACTTTAACGGTAATTCCAAATAAAAAAAATAGAGTCAATATCCCCATGCAAGTAGCCTTATCTCTTGGGCAAAAAAATAATGAATCTTCGTCAAATAATGCAAGTAAAGTCAGGTCATGTAAAAAAACGTGTTTTACTAGAAAATATTTCAAGATACGGAAAATGAAAAGCTGAGTCAACATTGATTGGAAGGAGGAATAACAAAAACACCATTCATACTTGTAGGGAACAAAAACTGGTGACATCTAACTTCTTGAACTGCATTTTGCAGTTATTTTATGACCAATTGAAAAAGAAAAGATAGCCAAATGATAATCCCACTGCTTGGCATCTGTAAGCAGACTGTCAGCCATTACGGTATATCACGCGTGATGATACCAAGCGGCGCACAGCAGTAGCTGGAAGCTTTTCTGGCAATCGTCGTGAGAATTATTATGTTGTACTTTTATTATTTTATTATTTCCCTTCTACGTGACTTTACCGAAAGAACCAAGAATATAAATCCCTGCAGTCACGAAAGCTTTGAATCAAAACTTTTCTGGCCAATTGGCAAAGCTTGGACTGTCCATAGCACCCAGCTGAGTTTTTTATAGGATTACCATAAGCAAACGGGAGGATGTGCAGTGTAAAGGTTAACTACGAACGATTTTAAACGATTGTTCATTGTACCAGGTAAGGTCCACCGAGCTATGTAACTCTTTTTCAGAAGAGACCTGGCTATCACAAATGACAGCTCAATGAAGTGGCTCATCATCACGTGGACTTTTATAGCAGCCAAATACTCTAAACTGGTGATGTTGATTCTAAACGTGGAGGGGAAAACCGGAGGAGCCAAAGAAAAATCGACTGCGACCACGGGGAGAGAGACACGCAAACTCCAAATATACAACAGGCGTCAGGGCTGGGATCGAACCCACGACCTCCTGTATACCAGGCGAGGTAGTTAACATCTCGCCAGGGAGGTGTCCACATACACCTACGGCATTAAACAGTTAAAAACGCACATTCTATGGCATTAAGCTGGAGCCATTAGCGCTGTTACAATCGAGGGAATTATCTGTTATAAACAATAATCATTTACAGCCTTGTGCCAATCCACTGCTGGATTAAGGTCTCTCCACACTGTGCAATCATGGGGGTCGTTTGACCATACTTCACCAGACTGAACAGTGCAGGTTGGTGAAAGGGGGCCCAGGACTGATTCAGAGATTACTCACCAATGATGTTAGCCATGGCCAGAACGCCCGGCTCACAGAAGTGCGCGAAACCACCTATTCCCGTTTAACACGTAGGCTTTTGTGACCAATATCATTCATAATTCAGGTTTTTTGGGTTAAATCGCGTAAATATGTGTAGTTAAACCCACCACCACCCAACACAGCCAATTAGTAAGGTTTGTCACAAACAGAACGTGCCAATTCGTGACCAGTACAGCACACCGATGTGTTGGAGGGCAAAGCCACACCATTTACAATCTATTCCCATTTACACAGGAACAACAACAACAACACAAAGATACGTCTAGATGCTGTCCGGTTTATGTTGTGGGGTATATAAGAAGAATGAGTTGAGGGACAAAACTTTCACACGTGCATATTTCCACGTGAGAATACGAACCGTGAACCAAATCGTCAGAAAGAACGGGCGTGGAACGCAATCCATCAAACGGAATGGAGAAGTAATTTTGAATGCCACCACTGGTACAGAGCGTTCCAGACAGTGGCAGCAAGAACACTGCAATGGGGCTCAACCATGCGTATACCGACGAGGGACAGCATAGGTAAATTAGATCAGGGGACAAGAGCAAGGCGGTTAAACAAGACAGAGGCAGGTGGAGATGCTAAATCGAAAACCAATGGGGTTGAGGAATGCTTAAAAATCACGGATTAATAACAATCGCATGTTTTACTTTAAGACATTAATATAAAGAAATTCCATAAACTTTTTTGTTGTTGCCAAGTCCAAAAAGGCATTACAATAAATAACAAATTAATCACATTTCTGCGAGAAGATGAACCACGAAAGTTTCAAGAAACACGCGCCACACGAGTCAAGCAGCAAAGCAACAGGTCTCTGCTGCTGCTGCTGCATCGTTTATGGACGATAAACCGGCGCGTCGATTGACTTTCCTCGCATTACGGATCACGGCCATGCAAAAGGCGGCGTCTCTTTTCTTATTTCCCCCCAAATGCCAGCGGGCAAAAGGTCCTACAGCTATCACTCATCTCTAGTCACCAACAATCCCAATGCATCAGAAGAAGCTCAATAGGTCACCGGGGCAGGGGCTGGCTGAGACGCTGGTGCACCCGGAGCAATTCAGCACGGGACAGAGGCTCCTCGCGAGATGAAGACAATCACGTTCACGTTTGGGTTGCTGAGAAGAACTGTGCATATGTATTGATTTAAACTAGAGTCTAGTTTAAATCAATACATATGCACAGTTTTTTCGCCAAATGTTTTGAGTCTAGTTACTAGACTCAAAACATTTGGCGAAAAAACACGGTGGCCTTGGAAGAAAACTATATACATAATAGGTGACGTTTCCGCGCAATGGTCCTTGTTATGAGCACATACACAGAGGCCACGGAGATGAGGTAGATAAGAGATGGAGACTGCACATTACACCACGACGCTTGATGATAAATAATAATGGCACTTGGTATGTGAGCAGCTGCTCAGACCTTCACTTGGTTCACTCAGCCTGAAAGGACTAATTTATTTAGAACTGCTATTTGTGTTTAGTTTGTTGTCCTTCCCCCACACTTCCGATTAGAACGCTTGGCTACGTACGCAGGGTGTGAACATCAGCACTGGTGCATGGTATCACCATCACACCACTCCTTAATGTGCCAGAATGATACCCCGATGCGTCATGCTGGCATTATCGGTGCTGACTAACAGCACCATTCCCTGCAGTCTAGAAAGATAAATGGGCAATCCATTATCTTTATAGGTGCTATGCAAATAAAACCCGTGGAAACAGGCCACGCACAGCAGACTCACACACTCACTCATCCACACAATGTATTAACAAGAATGCATAAAACTATACATAAGGGCAGATATGTAGATCTACACGTGAATAAAACGTTGCTGGTATTATCCAGAACGCATCCACCCACATAAAATACCAGCTACAATTGCAAGTACCTGTAAACTACATTTTCACATCCTATACCGGGACTTCAATAATATTGTGTGACAAGCCACGTAAAATAGGTTAGCGTGTGCTGGTGGGTCCGTGTGACTGATCTCACGCTTACAGACGTCACGCGTCACGATGACGTCGTGACGTCTGTACACGTGACCCCTAATCCGCACCTCATCTCCAGGTCTTTCATCTCAATTACCAGTACCTCTTTAAGTCCCGTTGAGCCGTATGTCGACACATTGGTTAATTCAGGGTCTCCCAAAATCCAGTTCTCATGAACCCATCATGGTCTGTCGACCTTTTCCCATTTGAACCTCATGGGGTACCATAGAACCCCGGCTCTCGCACAATGTCCGTGATGCAGTCATTTTTAGTCTGCTGATGATCGGCGATGCGGTAATCGACTCATCTCGACGAGCTGTACACGGTGCACTATTCAAAGTAGAATTTTTCGATAACGGATTTTTTTTTACGCTGATGTTTGGCGTTTCGACATCGCGGAGTGGCACCGATTTCAGATTGATTGATACCACAGTCGCGGAGTGAAGTACACCCCTGGAAAAAATAGTGTCCCAGAAATAAAATATTTAATTGCCTCGGCCATTTTGTATTATTTGGTACCCCGGGTTACCGCCATAAGGATAATTTACCAACCTTCTCATTTAAATCAAGTCGCTGCATGTGGCGAAACAATTCCATGTGACATACAAAGCACTGCGAGAAATTAGGACCACTCGCTATGTCACACGGGACACACACGCACGCACAAAATATATCTATATACAAAGATCCTCCATATAGCCTTAACAGACTGTTGGGGCAAGTGCTATAAGCGAGTGTCCATGAAGGACGGAACGGCACACGAGAGGGGGTGTGTGGCCAGCACCACGCTCAACAAGTGGTGATGTTTACACACTGCATCAGGTGTTCATTTGAGGCTGAGTCAACCTTTGGAAGGCTCAGGACCGGTTCAGATAAGTGTCACCGGTGTTGGCCGTGAGCAGGTATTAAACTCGCCGGGTGCAGTGCAGCACGCTAACCACTCCACTACCACTCCCCACAAATCTATACACATCTATATACACACACACACTCACACATACAAAAGATCTATGTTAATATGAATCTGCGCACTCCACACACATGTACACACATAACAGATCTCCTCCATACTACTTCGAATAATACTTTCTGTATCATTTGTTTCGTAATGGTCATGTGCATGCCACATGTAAACACTTTTTTGTATTGTAACAGTGAAGACTGGTGAACATGGAAAGATACACTACTGTGGGTGGTAACAATTGGAATCTCAAAAATTCCTGGCATAAATATGAGCACAACTGCTGACCTACAAAGGAGTTTATACAAAAGCCAACGCCACAACAGCGCACTGTCAAACGCACGCACGAGATAGATGCCATGCAACTGGCAAGGGGCCGGCACTCACTTGTTTGAGATAAACTGCCGTGGCCACGTTCCATCTTCATTTTTTTGTTCGATAATGAGCACCTGCAATGGCAATTAGGACAGACAAATAAAGACAAAGATCCCCCCCCCCTCCACCCCGTGTAGCCTTAGCAGACTGTTGGGGCAAGTGCTGTTAGCAAGCAGCACCTATGAAGGCCGGCAATGTACGCAAATGGGGGTGGGTGGCCAGCACCCCGCCCGGCCGCCTTGGTCTCCCGAGTCGCGATGTTGACACACCAGACCAGGTACTCATTGAGGCCGAGTCGAACCTAGGAGAGGCCCAGGACCGGTTAAAATATGTGTCGCCGATGTTGGCCGTAAACGGGAATCGAACTCGGGTCGCCGGTTTCGTAATGCAGCACGCTATAACCGCTACACTACCGCTCCCCAATTCGGGGAGAGACACGCGCACACACGCACACACAGGGCCCGTCGTTAATAACCAGTGTAGTCGGAGAGCGTGCCCCTGGACGAGCAGCCACTAGTCCATGCACACGACCAGGTAACACCCTCCACACGGCCAACGTGTACGCAAGGAAGCTGCTTCGCTAATCAAATTACACTGGGCATAGCCTGCATGAATGAGCTCAGCGAAACAGATCACGGCTGTTGGGTTGGTTGGTGGGTGGGAGGGGGGGCAAAACAAGGTAACAATAGCATCATTAGCAATGGCTTAAATTGTAAAAATGCATGGCAAGTGGAAAATCAACATCGCCCGCTGTGCAAGCCGTCACGGTGAAACAGCCGGCGATTTAAAAATGCACTGGCTGTAGTGCAGCGATGGCTTAATGTCTGCACTACCGTTTTTCCGGACATTAATTCACACACGAGCGCACTCTGGATGAAACCGAGGCTGTGGTAATCGTTATAAATACACCTCAAAGGATATTCTTTAAGTAGTAACCACCTCAGCTGCGGTAGAAGTATGTGGAATTGTGCAAATGGTTAAATGTTGGGGCCCGTTTGTCCCATCCGAAGCCGGATGAGGGCCTCCCAAGTCCTGCGCCGAGCAGGCAGTGAGCGTCATGCGATCATCCACTTGACCACGCTGGTCATGGGACGTTATATAGCATTAAAACAAATGCATTGGTTGGTGTAGTATACAAATAGAAAAAAAGCCCCAGCTCACAATGTGTTTCGTCCACTCCCTTACTCATCACTAGTCACTGAAGTGAATCAACGGACACACATCACACTCATTACTGTAAAGCACCAGCCCTGCTGGGGGGCTGCTGACTCAACTTACGTTTTACAAGAAAGCCCTATTCACTCGGCGACACAACAGTGAGTAAGTAATCTTTTGTGGCAGGACGCGGAAGCTGGGAAGAACCCGGCTCCTCGGTGTGCAGTTAATGGAGACAGGGAGGGCATCACTCACTCTTACAGGCGTGTGGCTTAGCGGTTACGCCCACCCCCAGCAAGGATGGGTCACAAGAAAAAACTAGGCCCTGCACGAATCAATTGAGATCGATTCCTACATTCTCAATATATTCACAAGCTCCCAACTGCGCAAATGATACATACGCTGATATTTAACTGGCTATGACCAAATCACCACGAAATATAACCGACGTTGTGAGCCCTCGGAAGCCGAGCAGGGTTGAGACCAGATGGTACTCTGGGTGGGTGACCACTGTGCAGAGGAACAGGTGTTACATGCTGCTGTTGGGTCACCTTGTGCGCAGGGGGCAGTGCGGCAAAACTCCCGCCCCTTCACCAATCCCTCATCCGGCAGCGGACTGACGCGTATAAATCTTTTAAGACCGATGGAAAGAACGAGAGAGAAACTAAATAGGACAGATAATACGGGACGCAAAAACAAGGACGCGAAAAAGAACGGATTTGTGGGACCACGATGGAATCGCTGGGAGGAATGGGGGAGGAGAATAGGGGGAGGGTGGACACTCGCCTGCCCCTGACACAGGCCCGCGTCCTGGATGCTGCTGTCCAGCTTGTTGAGAGGCTCGTACGTGTTGGATGTATACTTGTTCCACAGCCGCGTTTCCTTGTCCTCGGGTATTTCAAACAGCTTCTTCATCTCCTTCTCAATCGTGTCTGTTGGGCAAAAGGCGAATGTAAGAATGACGCAGCTGTGAGCTCTTTCGGTGCTTTAACATGCCTTTGCTTTGGACCAAAGTGGTTCTGTGCTTCGCATTGAGACACAAATTACGGTACATTTGTAGGCACCCTCTGATGACGCCCAGAACTGCCGAGACACCACGATAGAAGCGTGCTGATGTGATATTAACCCATGTCCAAATCCATAACTGTCATATCTCAAGGCCTATTGGGAATTTCTATTTAGATGTATTGTTCCAAAGCTCATTCGTCAATTATGGTATCGGCAGTTGTGTCGAGATATGCAGAAAGAAATGTAAGGATTTTCTTTTTTTTGTAAAGTTGCCGGTAACTGGGCTAAATCCATCAACCCATTACTGCTGCCCGAGATTTCAACCCAGGAGCTGAGTTCTTCCGACTTCCTGAGCCACCCACAATGCCACCCCCCTCATGGGAAAAACTTCAATCTCAAGATATTCAACTTATCAATAAGAATATATTTGGATAGCACTCGGTGAGTGGGTGGAGGGGGGTGGTAGAACTCTCGATTTACGTTGATAAGTTATCGAGTTCAAATCCTGATGGAATTGACTCAGGATATCATCATAATCATAGCTCTGGGGGGTCAATAAAATGAGTGACATTATTTGGTACTGTTAAACGGCATTCCTCCTAGGAATGTGGACTTGGCAGCGTGGACCTCATGCTGCTTGTCAAAAGGGATGAGCACTGCCCCCCTGTTCATCAGAACTTGGAGAAACCCACTGATGTTTAAAACACATTCCTGCGGAGGGAGCTGGTAGGAACGTTGGGTTGCTCGGTGAATGGCCAGGGTCAACGGCGGCGTGGTGTATTTCGCAAATATGCCCGACTGTGAGGGCGGGCACAAGCCGGCGTGAGTAGGTTAAACGTTGAGTTTTATAAGGGAACCACGGGGTGAGCAGCCCCTCCGCAACCAGCAACACCCCTCCCACCCCCCACCCAGCCCATCCCCACCCTCCCTACCCAGCCCCTTCCCACCCTTCCCACCCAGCCCCACCCTCCCCACCCAGCCCCTCCCCACCCAGCCCCTCCCCACCCAGCCTCTCCCTGCACGACGGACACAATAATCCCTGTGGGCTGGTGTAACCAGAAGGTTCCTACCAGAATGAAAACCAGTAGGGAGATGGTGGACAAGAGGGGGCAGGATATACCAACGATGAGAATAAATACAACAGGCCATATGTTTGGGTATTATGGACCGCAGCTGCAGAGGATGTGATAAGAAATTATTTATCCACCAAAAAAACAAAGTTAATATTATCAAATTCAAGTGCATGTAACGTTAAGATAATCGTCACTTCACATGGAAAATGTTTAGCAAACCACTTAGGTTTGCGTGGGTAGTAACAATGTTTTTTTCCTGTATTGAGATAGCCTAAGATGAGAAGGTTAAATATGCGATGTTTGTCAAGGGTCTAAGCTTCTATTTGGACTTTTCGATGATAACAAAAAAGAACTGTAATTGTCCACCACTGCCAAGGACACATTATATACTCACTTGTTCCATTCCCTAGATTTCGAATTAGTGCATATTGTACCACATTCATTAGTCTTCTTGTAATGGAATTGTAAAGGTAAGACTTTATAACATTACCTGAATATTAAATCTAATACCTGCATGTGATACACAACTTCAACGAGATGACCTGATATAACATTAAAAATCATTCCACCTGGAATGAGTGAGATAACATTGGCACCAATTTACATCAAAATAATCCTTCCAATATGATACACTTCCAACATTACTTAGCTCTCCGAATGAATCAATGCCGACAGTGCCAGGCTTTGCTACAAATGTGTGTGGTGCCCAGTTCGCACAGACTCAATGTGAATCACTAATGTACATTGAGGAGGACAGGTACATTGATTTGTTTAAATTTAGCCTAATTATATACTCAGAGGAAGCCAACAGAAGACAATGCATGCTGGGATGGTTTTTTTGTGTGTATGTTGAACTTCTTCCACACCATACGTGGCCAACCGTGCTAATCGAAGGTAACGGGAGGACAACGAACTAAAGTAGGAGTCTCCTTTTAAAATTGGAACGCACGCAGGAACATGACTGGACAAGGTCTGGCTTACCGATCGTGTCGGCCTTGCTGAAATGCCGTGTGAAACTGTTTTCCACGTCCCCATTTTCGCACAGCTTCAGCTCCGTCAAGTAAACCTCTACCTTGCAGTGCTTCACAAACATGCCGTGCTCCACCACCTGGAAGGCAGCACAGAGGCATGGACTTGTCACCACAACGTCGAACGTTCGCGAAGGAACCACAGCAGAGCAACACGGGTTATATTTATTGCAGTAAACATTTAAAAAACATCTCCCTGCTCAAAGAAAGAACGTGGTTGTTGCTCATCCTTGATGACGGCCCTGAGTAGTGCCTGCAATTCTACATTTCCATGACATTGGAATGTTTGAGATGTTTGGTCAATTTCTTTAAAAAGTTTTTCTATTTGATAAATGTCTCTTTTAAAAAGGGGCACCTTGAAAACCAAATGAATAAATATCATCATCATCACGACCCATGGGCAGATAGCCCCGTGGGTGACCAATGTACATTTCGTCATGTTTCCACTTTCCTCCGTCTTGTGCCAATATGCTAACGTCTTTCTGGCACCAATCTCTCATGTCGTCATCAAGCCATCCCTGTTAGGTCTCCCACTCTTTCCAGTTCCAGTTTTCCCGAACAACACACTTTTCATTTTATAGATGTGTATATATATGGCTACATATCTCATACAATTTAGGTGTGGGTAAGCGTGCATGGCGGTGTCTTAGGGAGGATCACAACCCCCAGTGCGGGAGGAGCTGAAGGCAAACTCTGTTTGTGTCCAGCAAAAATGTGTCAGTGTCTGTGGGAATCAAAACCGTCCGACTTTGCAGCTTGGCTCGGTGTGAACGTGCTTAGCCGTGAGGTTATACAGCTGCCTAAACAAAAGCCTTTTGCGACCTGAAAACTTGCTCTTCCCATTGAACTGAAAATGCAATTTCCCAACTACAGTGCGTCAGGCTTAAACGTCTACCACGTGGCTAGTGATGGTGTTGACGGTGCAATAATTTCCAACTTCCTTCCCTTCAGTTGCACATTATTTCCACTACTTAATTTTAATCAATCAAAAGCAGCGGCTGCTTTTGCGATGAACGGGTAACCCTGGAAACAATACTATGGTTTTTTTCTTGACACTGTAGATGCGATATCTAAAACGGTGAAATGTTTTATTCAAAATGTCTCAAACTGTCACCTTTGTGTCATGGTGACATTGTCAGCGGTACATGACTAAGCTGTTTTTAAAAATGTTAATAAATTCGCTTTCAAATAGAGTCACCAACGATTGTGCCTGGCTAAAGAGCATTGTGTGCACAAGGTGACAGATGGAAAATGGGCAATTTGTATTTTTATGTAGTGAGTTCAACTGAGTCGCAGATGTACTCTTTGGAGGCAACACATTTATTTAGCACCAACACACGGGATAACTACCCCATTACAGAATAACAACCTATGGTGGTGACCACCAGGGTAACTACACTAATCACACCATCACGAGCTACAATGGACCGGACCACAGCTTGGGTCCCGGTCCACGTGTTGGAGACTCTGCAGGACGTAGGACGTAGATTTCTTCAGGATGAACAACAGCAGCAGGTCCCTCTGGGGGACCCGGCTTCTATCCTCCGTGGCGTGGCTGGCTCCGCCCTTAGCCACGGCCACCTTCCAGAATTCTCGAGCAGGATCTCGACCCTGACACGTGACCACCCTAGCTCCACTTGGGGCCCGTGTAGAATTAACCGGTCAGCCACAGTGCCACGGTCTATAGTAACCCCATTCCCGTGGCCGGCACTCTCACACCCTATCCTGTAGGGGTCTGTACTGCACGCAGAGCGTGGTGCCATCCAGCACTATCGATCAGCGCTCACCGAGCCCCTCTAGGGCCGGTACTGCACCCACATACACGCGGTGCCCGCGATGTCGTTACACCGCACGCCGTGCCTCCCTAGGGCCGGCATTACACAGTGACATCCGCGATGTCACTACATTTATACAGGCTGCACAGATCATTATCCTGATTTTACAAGTTGTAGATGTAAGCCATGGTTGATTTAACTGTTTTTTATATTCATATTCTTGGTTTTTTCGGTAAAGTCACGTAGATAGAAAATAAAATAAAATTAAAATAAATATTAAAACAGATATTAAAACATTAAATATGTATGAGTTGATAATTGGTTCTTTACCCTTCTATCTGGCAACAAAACTGACACCTTTTTGCAAGGAGTCATGTTTGCATAGACCGCAATACCTGCAGTCATAAATACAAACAAAAGACATAACTCTGATAATGTGCACTGTCCTTGAAGTAGAGTGCACAAGGACAGTGCACATTATCAGAGTTATGTCTTTTGTTTGTATTTATGACTGCAGGTATTGCGGTCTATGCAAACATGACTCCTTGCAAAAAGGTGTCAGTTTTGTTGCCAGATAGAAGGGTAAAGAACCAATTATCATATTTTTACTGGCAAATGAGGTCCCCATAGTATGTATGAGTTGTTCGTGCCCAAAAATAGGAGGGCGGCACGCTGTATAAACATTCCAACGCATCGCTGCTCCTGCTCCGTACGAAAAACAACACAAAGGCGGCACCAATCTGTCATTAACCGCTCTGTGTTTACGCATTCCGAGTACGCGTGTCGGCGGGGTAGCACTGCACTTGGGCAGGGAATGTAGAATGTGTATAAACCTGCAGCACAAGTGCGTGTGTGGCAGATGGGCTCCGTGCTTTGGGAGAGAACCGCGCGCCGTCGCTGGGCATCCCTCGGCAGCGTCCGCGAGCCGCTGGGGAATCGCCAATCGGCACGGGGAGCTCTGCCAACCACGCCAGCGACATAACCACGCGCGGTGCCACAGCCAGTGCCAGGTGGCCACTTAAAGCACTCGCCCATGGTGGCTGCACTGATCAATAATTGAGTAGAGAGGCATTGGGCAGTGCTGGGACCACACTGTGCCCACTAGAGCAGCTTCGGGCTAATTATGGAATGTACGACTTCAAAACCTAAGGCCATAACAAGCTTGGTGAAAAACAACTCGAACTGCACAAATGATGTAAAAAACTATAACTGTTTTTATTTAACCAGGTATATGGCCCACTGAGATATAGAGCTCTTTATCAGAAGCGACCTGGCCACAAGTGGTAGTCCAATGAAGTGGCTTATCATGGGGGAATTTATAGCAGCCAAACACTCTAAATGCATTTTTTTTTAATGTCAAAAGAAAAACCGTAGGAGCCAGAGAGAACATGCAAACTCCAAATATACAGCGGGCGTCAGTCGGGATCGAAGCCGCAACCTCCTGGAAACCGGGCGAGGTAGTTAACATCTCGCTACTGCAGTGCACGATTATTATGTAATCAATGGTCACATAGACACGCACGATAGCAATCCGTCTGAGACCAAGCAGCTCCACCTTGAACAATGACCAACAGCACTTCTACGCTGATGACCCCTACAATCTGACATTCCCCATCAGTTCCACACGCCTGCCCTTCCCACCAGCTGCCTCGACGAGAATTTCGTCCAACTCCCTCCACAGACATTCAGCAATAAATACGACCGTTGCTGGACTCCTTCTTCAACCTTAGAAGGGGATGGTCCTGAGTATGCAGAATGTTTAACACGTAAGGCTTTCGTGACCAATATTTTCCTTCACATTTATGTGGTGGGTTTAAACGACACATTTATATTTACGCCATCTAGCCCAAAAACCTCTAATATGGAGTACACAGAATATTGGTGTAATCCTTACCCTGCAAGCTCATTTCCTAATCCCACATCCGTAACCTATCCACAACCTTTTATCTCTGTTTACATGGCATTTACTTTACCCGTCCCTCTAATAACACTTCATAACGTAAAACTGTCCGTCCTTCACACGAGTAGAATCCTCCTGCTTTCTATCAATATGACCTGCACTATGAAGCTTTGGACCATTAAGATGCCCTGCTCCAAGCACCCCATCAGCGGTCACGAAACACCATTATTATTCAAACCTAGACGTCCTTGAAATGGAATTTAGCTCACCAGTGCATCAATTACAATATTACGCTGTATCTGAATCCTTCTCGGCCTTAACCCCTGCCCAACGTCCCTGACCTCATCATACCCTACTCCTACAATTATGACGCATTCTCTCCATTTTATCAAGGCTCATCTCCTCCCAATAAACCCACACACGTCGCCCTCCTCACAATGGGTTCGCTCTTTCTCCTCTGCCGCCAGCAATATGAGCGAATGCTTGCACGTGCCTGCCTACGCTTCCGATTCCCACACACAAATGTATGGAAACACTTCCATCTGGCATGAGCCAAAATTGACATTATTAATGGGTGTGGCAGGGCGGCGCAGCGGTTAACACTCGTGCAGCACAGCATAAAGGACCTGGGTTCAATACCTGACTCAGGTGCCTTAATGTATAGTCTGTATGTTTATACTGCTAGGTGGACAGAGGCAGGGCGATTTAAGAAACTTGCCAATTGTTGCAAATGCCATGCCAGAAGATAGAATGGGAGACCTCTGGTCCAGTGTGCTAACCATTACGCCATGGTGGTATCAAATTGCACTGTATATGCTGAACGATAAAACTGTGCCACAGAGCCTCAGTTTCAAGACAGACCTTGCAAAAAAAAAATGTTTAACTCATAATGGGACAAGTATTTTATTATTGGCATTAACCAGCCAATGGCCGACATGCAGAGAATTCTTAGGCATCAGACATCTGCAAGCAGTTTAAGGTAGCAAGCTTAAGTGTCCCCTCGGAACGTAAGTGGAACAATGGATCCACGAGTCTTCATTGGTTGCAGGTGTGGCCTCCCGTCTGAGAATCCCGGTCTAGACTGCAACTTTATTCAATGTGCAGCACTTGCATGTTGTGCGACAGGGTGGCGCAGTGGCCTCCATAGCAAGAGGGTCCTGGGTTCGATCCCTGACAACAACCCTTCTGCACGGAGTTGGTTATGTTCTCCCCCTGTTATGCATGAGTTTCCCTCTGCGTTCTCCGGCTTCCTACCAAAGCTAAACACATACAATGTAACTCTTGCTTGTCAAACATTCCAATGCAGGACCTTACTGGCTTTCCTGAGTAAATAAGTAATTGTGATTATGAAGTGCATACCAATATCTCCCGGTGAACTTTACTCATTACACACTGCAGACAGTTT